TCAAATTTATATAAATGATAATTATATTTACAAAAGTATATTCTAATAACTTCACATGTATGCACATGTGTGTAGTAATAATTGAAAATTTAGAGTTTATTATTTGCATATTTATTTCCTATTCAATAGGATATAAATTAAATATATATATGTGTACTTATAGGGTAGTAGAGGTCGAAGAGAAAGACCGATAATGGCGAATCGAATGATAGGAGAAAGTAGAGCTTTAGATTTAAAGCCTCCAATTGATGAAGCTTTAATGAACTTTCATATTGAACTTACTGAAACTTGCATTGACTTAATGGCTCGTTATACATTTTCCAATTATTCGGCGCGGCCTAAAAGGTAGTTCCAAGTAATTAAATCAAATAAAAGATATAACAGAAATATACTAAAAAGATATGATAAAGAATATAGTATGTTATTTTTATAATAGATTACCAGCTGCTGATTTCCTCCTTAAGGAAGGTCAGTCAATGACTTGGATTCTTGGCAATAAACTTATCACGGTAACGACAAGTGGTTGCAGCAATAAAGCTATGCGCGGTGGACTTTGCGACAATTGTTGGGCGGCGTGTAAACCTGAAAGCCTTCTATTACTAGATCATACAAGAACGTCTCAGTCAAACTTGCAACGTACTTCAAGTATCGAGGTTCTTTATCTTTAGATCTTATATATGATACAATTAATACAGTATTTATTTTATTTTTACTTCTTTTTGTATAAATAATATCTGCAATGATTGCATTTAAATTTGGATGTCTTTAAAAAATATATATTACATAAGAAATTATATTTGTAGACGTCAAAGGAAGACAAGTTATCCAGACAATCCTCCGGTGGTCATGGAAGTTCAAACGCGAATACTGCTACGAATTCTCCCACAGAGGAATCTAAAAAATCTACAGAAGATTCGGATAGTATGAAAAAGGAATTTCTTACAGAGAAGACCGACAAGGATCAGATTGAATTGTCAAAGCTGGGACAGATATTGAATAGCGACAAACAAGATGGGCATATACTTTGTGCTTGCTGGTGCCAAGGATGGGCTGAGATATACGTGCGTAGACCTACCGGTGATATGTCGTGGATTACGAGAATACAAAATTCTACACAATTTGAAACTCCCATGGATTTTCCTGCACATGACATTATGGCTCTGTATATGCCGAATCAAAATGTAATACCAAATAAACAACAAGAGGCTGCATCAGAATATTCTGATGACGAAGGAGAGGTATTTTTAAAATTAACTAAGCTGTAATAATCAACTATTGATAAATCATTAAAAGCAATTTACATATAATGTATTATATCTTTTCTATGACATATTTTTTCTCTTGCTACAGGAAATACCAAACAAAAATATTAATCAGTCGCAAAGCGAATCCAGCGTCAAATCCGTGTTATCTTCTATATCGTCAGGTCCCATTGCGATACCAGGTTCACCAGCTCGACCTAGTCCATCTCGACAAAGCTCAAGAGACAGTTTAGAAAGCTTAGAAGAAGGTGAAGAAGGTATAAGTGATACAATTATTCTTGTCTTTTTTTAAATAAATGAATAGAAAAATATTTCTAAATGAATATAAAAATTTTCCATAGATACAAGGCGTTCCAGAAATCCGGTACGCCGATCAAATTCCAGTCCGGAAATGAGCGCTAATTGGAAGAATCCATTCTTAAATAAAGAGAAACTAAACGTGCAGCAACAACTCGATAAAGATTTTGTTTGTTCAGATCTAGAAATTAAATTGGATGCAGAATTGAAGAAACATTCAAAAAATATTTATACAAAAGACATGAGGTATATTTGGAAAAAATTTACATATACAAGCATTATTAAATTTATTTAATACTTTTTATATTAATTTTTTGTTATATTTTTGTTATTATTAAATTTTATTTCTTGATGATTAAGGGATGTTACTTTTAAATATATTTATAAAATTGTTCTTTTATTCGTTATTTAATTTATAGGGTTAGTTGTGAAGCGATACCGGAAGAAATTTTTGGTATGGGAACGACTCCACCTTCTTCGGAAAATACTGGAGACCATCCAACCACATTACGTTCGCAACGTTCTTATCCAGGAGCGACCCAAGTTACTCAAACTATTTCAGTAACCGTTAGCAATACTGTACCTCCATCACCAACAACTGTACAGGTAGATGATACTGATAAAGTAACACGGAATGTATACCTAACATTAAAATTATTTTAGGCACCAGGAAATTATTTAGGAATACAAATACGCCCGACACAAATACAATCATCTACTGCAAAAGCGCCACAATCACCTACTCAAATTTACTCTCGATTATCTAGTCTTGATTATAGTCAAAAACAGATGTCTGTTGAAAATAAACCACCTATTGGACGAAACTTTGGAGATAAAGTATACCGAGAAAAAATTGAATTTCTTGAAAATAATTTCTCTACACATTTATATGATTGATCACTTTTCCAGCAAAAGGATGAGAGACCAGATCCATCCATGTTGCCTCCTTTACCTATAACTATACCTTTCCGCGACAGAGGCCACACGATCTCCGTTATGAGTCCAGTAAAAAAATCACGAGGGGAGTGGGATAACATGCGACGAGGCAATTCACCTCGCGTAAAGGATCCGCCACGAACAGGCATCAATCCAAGGTTGTATTTTATTACTCATATATATGCTTTCAATTAAATATATTAATTTAAAAATATTAATTATTAATTAAATAATAATTAAAAATTTAAATATATTAATTTAAACATTTTTTCTTGCAACATAATACAATATAGTTTTTTGGAAAGTCACATTGGTTCTCTGTTGCAGCTTTGTGTTCCTTCAACTTTACCATGCAGCTCACTTCGGTACCACTACAGAAAAACCTCTGTTGGTTCCACAGACAACAGCTATTCAACGCGCGGTGACAAATTTAGACAGAATACAGCCATATGAGACTCATAAAATTGGAGTGCTCTATGTTGGCCCGGGACAGGCTTCGAACGAAACTGAGATTTTGGCAAATCAGCACGGTTCCCTTCGTTATACCGAATTTTTGCACCGTCTAGGCACGTTAATTCGATTGAAGGACGTCGATGAGAATGTATTCCTAGGAGGATTGGATCGTAATGGTGAAAATGGAGATTTTGCTTATATCTGGCAGGACGATGTTACGCAGGTTTGCAATCTACTTTGTATTAATCGAATTAATTCAGTTTTCACGCAGTTTTACTTTTAATTAATAACTCGGAAATCTCTTCAGGTGGCTTTTCATGTCGCGACGCTGATGCCTACGAAAGCAAGTGACCCAAAATGTACGTCGAAAAAAACCCACATTGGGAATAACTACGTAACACTTGTTTACAATGAATCCGACGAAGCATATAATATACAGACAGTTAAGGTAAGCGGGATTAAAGTAGCTTTAAAAATTCTGTAAGATACTTTTGCGCTCAATTTTGCTCGCGTATCTTTTCAGGGTCAATTTAATTACGCCTGCGTCGTGATACAACCGTTAGATCACGGTACTAATCAAGTGACGGTACAAGCACGAGAGGAATTGGCCGAGCATATCGGTCACAGCGAGCCTAAAATAATTTCTGATCAAAACCTGGCGATTCTTTCGCGACAGCTTGCTCTGCATGCTAATGTAAGCATCTTCTCTGTAAAGGTTTTTACAAAATTCTTTTTTCTTTAGAAAAGAATAGATACGATGTAAAGGAAACGTATGATTTACAGCTCGCCTCGATGGTTTGTTCGTCTCTGAAGCAAAATAGCCACAATCCATACGCCTCCAATTGGTTGGAGCGCTTACGGCACATCAAGCGACTACGAAATAGGGTGCTGCAAGAATCGGTTAACAACAATCCGGATACCGCAACGGACGAGTTATCGCCAAGAAGCAACAAGCGTGTCTATATGGACGACTTTACGGAATACACAACATAATTTTATTGTAATGAGATAACTATACGTTGAAAGGGAGGACTGATGAGAACGACTGAATCCGATTAAATGCGTTGCAAACAAGTTAACACATTAAATACATTAATTATCGAACTGTTTAGAAATTGAAAACTATTTCTAATTTGAGAAAGAGAGAGAAAGAATTAGAAATATGAATTTTATTATATATAATATATATTACACTAGATCTTATATAATTATATAATCAATGTTCTTTTTGTTTGCAATATAAATTAGAAAAAAAGGATATTAATATCGTTTTTTATGCATTAATGCACATAGACCTTTTCACTCGAGGTATACGATTAGAATAATAAATATTGAAGTTCAAAATGCACTTTAATTCTGTTTAATTCCAATTAATGGAAATTAATAAGATTCGTATCAAGTATTTACCACAAAAGTGGATGCATGAGGCATTAAAATTAATTTTTACATGCCAATAATGACATATTAGCTTAACAATAAAATTGATAAATTAATTTAATCGAGAAATTCATTTAACTAAAAATTCATGAACAGAATTCAGTAAAATTTGAAACAAACTTTTTATTCCTCAAGTGCCAATGAAGAAGTATCTCGTATTAATTATCATTGTATTTCATTGTTGACATAAAAAAATCATTTTTACGTATAAAACAAAAATATGACCTCATCAAAAATTATATTATTTTAATTCCTGATTCATATAAATGTCAGAAATTTATATTAATATAATTAATTATTTATTAATGTAATTATTTGTTAAAATATTTATATTAATAATATATATTTATATTAAATAATATTTATATTAATAATATAATAATAATGTATTAATATTTGTATATTAATAATAATATTTATTAATGTCAGAAATTTATATTAATATAATTAATTATTTATTAATATAATTATTTATATTAATATTTATGTTAATAATATTATCATTACATATTATGTCATTATATAAAATATTATTTGTCCACAAAATATTATTTTTCTATTTCATGTTTTTAATTAATTTTTCAAAAATTTATATTCAACGCGCATGCGCGAAAATGGAAGTCTATCAACAACTGATCTACCAGATGCATGATAATCCATGATCCGTTTTGCGTGATAAGTGACATCATGTCGAATAAACAATTATTTCTTCCATCTGGCTTTCCACGAGCACCTCTCGGTCTAGGAATTGGACGTTACGTCTGTCAGCTGCAGAGGGTAACTTTAAAATTTTGCAAAAACCATGGCACAAGTAGAGGAATGAGGTAATTTTTGTATCTAACCTGTGTTTTTATTTTTGTGATGACGATAAAGAATTATTAAAAAAAAAATCAATATGCAATTATTTTGTGAGCAGGGATTTTATAGAGCACAATCTAGTTCAATATGCGAAGGATAATCCAGGAGTCGTCGTGTACGCTAAACCAAGAAGACACAAACACCCAGTTATAGTTGCTGAGTATTGTATGCATCTAAGAGATAAACGAATATTTTTAAATCAACGTGATATAACTGGTATAACTGTATATTTTTGTGCCCAGTAAATGGCGGTAAACACTGGATGGACGTTGCTAACTACAGTCGGGATGACATTACAAAGTGGATGGAGCTGGTACGTACGCAGATTCACAACAGCTCTGCGATGAGACTGCGTAAGCTGTGGCACACTAATTTTCCATCCATACAAGGCCCATGGACACCATTTACATTTAAAGACCCAAAGCTAAACTTGGCACAGTTCCCTAACGTAATTATATTTTATTCAAGACAATAAGATTTTTTAATTAAAAAGATTAGTGATATTATATATACACATATATATCGTATAATATACATATATATATATATATATATATATATATTTATTTTTTCCTTTGTAGAAAAAGCTTGGTGCAGCTGTTAAATTATATCCTACAGCAACAGAAAAACTTGTAGAATTATTTAAAGCCCAACAGTTGAATGATAGTGAAAAGAAAGATGACTCTGAAGCTGTTCAAGAAGACAGTGAACATGTTCAAAGAGCATAATTTTTAATAGGTTTTCCTTTTTTAATATTTATAATGTATATAGGATGAAATATATAGAATGGAAAATAGAATTGCAATAGTATTTGGTGAATATATAATTTCAATACATACAACAGAAAAATTACTTTCGTAATTTTATTATCAAGTGTATTTTACACACACATACAAACATATATATATATATATATATATATATATATATTATATATATATATATATATATATATATATATATATGAAATTTTCGAATTACAACATATAATAAATTATAAAAATTTCATTAGATTTTCCTCTATTTTTTATTAATAAATTTTTTAAAAATATATATAAAACAATGAAAAATCAAAACAATCAAAAATACAAATAACTAATTCCTTTCTTTTTTCTTTTTTTAAGAGATTGATTGTGTACACAAATTATTGTTTCTATCTTCACTTAATTTTTTTTTAGCTTCATCTATGGCAAGATGAATTTATAAAATGCTACTTTATCTCATTCATTCTTGTTTTTTTTTCATTTTCATTCAGAGAATCGGCATTTACAGGAAAATTTTATTTTCTTGAAAAATATAATTCCGCGTCCCATTTATAAGATGATGCCGGTTCTGTGCAGATATAAATAATAGAAATATCTATTATCGATTATAACTTTGTAAAATATTACAAAACATTTAACAATTAAAATTAAAAGATTTAAAACAGTACACAATTTATCTTTATCAAATTTCTTTTTTTAATCATTTAAAAAATTACAATTTGTATGCTCTAATTTCTATTGAAATTAGATCATTTCAGATCATTTGAGATATTTAACATTTTAGATCATTTCGAATATCATTCAACATTACAGATAAATCTGTGTTTTCTGTAAAAGAAAAAAATATATAAATATTCTATATAATGCTTATATAAATTCACTTTAAAATTCAATTTAATTATAAGATATTAATTAATAATATACGTACTAGTTGGATCTTTTATGTTATTTGTGCTTGTATATTGAAAATTAATATGGTCTTCTTAACATAGAATCATATTTAAAATCTGTAATAAATAATCATTATACTTAATCATATATTTTTACTTAGAATTTCTACACTTATTTCAAAGAAAGAAATTATTCTTTTATATTTCTATTATATGAATATAGGTATCATTTTTTTTATTTTTATGAATTATTTATTATAAAATATACTCACGTGTATTTTTAGGAGAATATATTGATTGACTTGTGGCATTATTGGTATGTAAACTTGGACACGGCTTACAATGACATACACCTCGCATTGTACAATTAAATGGATCGTTGCAAAAAGTTAACTTTGCAGTACAAGGTGCTGTTGGAATTCCTGGAAAACTAGTCTAAAAAATATTTTTCCTAATGAGAACATATATTTTCACATTTGCTTTTTATTATTTATAAAAATTAAATAAATATACTTTATAAAAATTAATTTCACATAAATTATTCAAGTAAATACCTTTTTATTCATTGGACCCATATCTTTAATCCCAGAATTTGCCTTATGATAATTTTTTTTGTTATTATTCTACAATAAAAAATTATCTCTATAATATTCTAAAATTTTTTAATTTTTCTTATAAAGAAAGAAAGATTTTAATCTTTCTTATTTTCCCTATATATTTATATTATATTTTTATTTATACATTTTTAACATCCCAATACTGAAAAAAATATATCTGAAATATATCTTGAAATAAATATCTTTTCCAAAATTTTAGCTTTTAGTATAATATAATCTATGTACAATATAAAAAGATACACATAGAGATCATTGTTGTTAGATTTACGATATAAATATAAAATTATTATAGACGTATATCATATGCATATGCGTGCAAAAGAAAATATAAATGTGATTTTCCAGATTTCAATTTTTTCACATTTTTCAAAATTGTTTTTCATCCTATTTACCTTTGAAACATTAGTCTGTTGTGTTGGATGCATTTTTGCTTGATTCATTGGATTTAATAAATTATTTATCTACAACATTAGAAAATAAATAATATAAAGTTAACACTCATACAATATCACCGTTTTAATAATATATGTTAATAATATATAATAGATATTCTTAATATTTTATTCTTTGAGCATTCTAATTGCATTACAAAATCTTGTTGTTAATTATCATAATAATTACCTTATTATCATTTACCTTAGGTTTGGGACCTTGACAACATTGGGTAAAATGATTCACATCACCACATTTTGTACACTTTGACCCCCAAGCAGGACACTTTCTTAATGGATGTTGAGAATTACATCTCCAACACTTTCTCTTTGTATCATTCAACAAAGGCTTTGGTGTGCTTCTGGATTCTATGGTCTCTTTAGTAATTTGTTTCATTTTCTCTGTATTGATATTGTAATCGTTATAAATTGCTATCAGTTTCTGCAAATCTAAATTTTTTGTCTCAAAAAATTTTTTCAAAAGTATTTTGTCTTGAGTAATAGAAATAATTTTATCTCGTATAACATTATCCACTGTGTCTTTGAAATTGCAAGTTTTGGCTTTTTCCTAAAAAAAAGAAAAAAAAAACATTTTAATACCAGAAAACATAAAATATTCAAAACAAAAAAAGTGTATTCCAATTCAACATACTTTTAAGATATTTATATATTGTTGGATGGTTTCATTGTGTTTTTTGTCTCTTGTAAAGAAATGATATCGCTCGACTATTTCATTTTTTGGTGGATTAAAGAATTCTTCCAGTTTTGCAATCAATATATCCATGTTATCTTTATCCTGCGGTCTGTTAAAAGTCATAGTTTGTATTGCATCAATACCAATTTTTCCAATCCGATTTTTCAAGATATTTGCACGAATATCATTGGGCTTATTAATATAGCCAGTTACTTTCATAAATATGATGAAATCTTCCTTCCAACTGTGCCAATTACTGGCCATGTCATTGGTTTTTGTTAGAGGATCTGGAGCACGTGCATGTGCTTTCATGATGAATGCTTACTAAAAAGAATAACATCAATATTCTTTTAAATTATTTTTCTTAATTTTATTTCCCAATTTATATTAGACAATGCAAAATAAACATAAATAATCCTTATTGTATTATGCTATTGTATTTTTAGTATTTATAGTATGTAAATTATATATATCCAAAGAATCTTAAGATTAAGTTTTAATAATTAAACAATATAATACTATTTTTTATATTATCTTTTCAATACAAAAGAATAAAAGATATACAATAAAACTAATGAAGAAAGTATAGCAAAGTTCTGACTTTTAAATAAAGTATAGCTTTCAAATCACAAAAGTTATATGGTTGTAATGTTATTTCTTCCAACATGAGGTTAGTCATTTTTAATTAATTTTTGATAAAAAAGAATGAGATCTTGAAAACAATTAATATATCAGCTATAAATAGAGCTATTAATAGAGTATCTTATACATTTTATATAGCTAATGTGTATATAATTTTAATTTTTGTAAAGTAATATTGTACATTATTTTTATTTTTTTAAGTAAAAAAATTTTTAATGTGTATGTGTATTAATAAACATTCAAAAATTATTATTAGCCATCTTAATGTTAATATATTTTAATAATTATATTAATATTATTATTAAAACTGCATTACAATATAAATATAAAAGTAGCATATTTATGCTGGATACATAGCTATGCAAATTTATTTTTATTTATATATGAAAAGGTAATGATAATTTATATAAGTATTTATAGAAATAAAATTTATAGAAATAAAATTAAAACAGACTTATAAAAAAATTGGTCAATTTAATATGTACGATATAAAATAATTATTGCATATTTTATCCACCATATTCGAATGACGTGTTCAACGCAATTATAGTTTACGTTATTAATACAATTTTTATAATTATGCTGGTCTTGTACAGTATATAAAGTTATGAAGATAATGCATTTACCTTGTTTTTAAATGTGCGCTTTTTAAGATATATTTTTCGCTTTTTCGACTTGAATCTTGAGTGCTTTGTTCGTGATTTTGTGGGTGACGACTTTATCTCAGTTTTCGTCGACTATAGACTATAGTATGTACACTGTGCGACAACGATTCGTTCCGTGGTCCCTCTCGCGAGGCAAGGGGAGCGTAGCCTCTAACCAATCAGCCATTGCCACGCTGCCAGCTGATTGGTCACTTCTACGCTCCCCTTGCCCCGCGAGAGAGTGACCACGGAACGAATCGTTGTCGCGCAGTGTACCCAATCATGTATACTAATGTCTAATACACACGCTCTGTACTGTATAGTATAATTGGTATAATTTACCTTCATCGAGAGTTCCTGACAGCTCTGTAAAGATAACTATTTAAAATTAATTCTTCAAAATTTTAACATTTGCAATTAATTGTTGGTTCTTTGTTACTTATTGCTAGCTTGATTTAGATGTTAATTTAATTGGTTTTAATAAAATAAATATTAGTATGAAAGTTAGATTACTTGATAGAATGTTTCAATTTTTTTTTCAATTATCAATTTTTTCAAGTATCAAATCGATAGGAAATGAATTATTTCTTCAAGAATAATTGTTGGAGATTTATTATTTATTAATTATAATAATTATTATGATAAGTATAATTAATAAATTCACATACACATATTCTTTTTGTACAAAAAACTTATTGTTAAATTATATTTCACAACACAGTGATTTATCGAATTATTTAAAATCCAGCAGATAAACTTTATCCATTCAGCCATTCAGCAAGAATGAATATATGAGCATAAAAGAGATTCTCAAAGAGCCACAATTTTCCTGATACATTTTATAATTCATAATGTATAGCATAAAATATGCAATATAAAAAGCAGAAAAATTTTATATACAGTAAATATGAATTTTTCCTATTATGAATTTCAAAAATCTTATTAAATTTTCCTTAATTTTATATGAATATATTTTTTTTAATAAAACAGTAAAATAGTGTCCTAAAGTAGTCTTCTGATTATAAGCTTTTTTTGCTTCCACTACAAGATCCTAAATTATTTCCCCTCATTCCACTTTTCATTCCACTTTCGTTCAAACAAACCGCGAGATTTATAGAGAAATTCTTGAAATATAAACAAATCCGTGTTCTGATTAGAAGATAATTGTTAGTTCTGTAACGAGCTTATGAAATATCAAGGAAATATTGCAACACAAATTCTTACTATTATTACAATTTTACAAAATGTATCTATAAAATATTGAATTAAAATTTAAATTAAGACAATACACAAGGATCTTGATTTATTCCATTTTTTTCATCAATGAACTTAATAGCGTGATTTCTTTATGTTTTGCAAGTACAGCATCCATAATATGCTTCGGTGGATTATACGGTGTCATTTCCTGTAAAAAAGAGTACATGAATATTTTATGTGATGCTTATAAATTACCATTTAATTATAAAATATTAATTAATGCAAGCATATGTTGGTTGTGTGTGTTAGGTATTTATATTTGTTAAGTATATCGAAATTACTATTGGTTTCTTTCTCTGGTTCTCTCTCGGGCCTCTTCTCACATATGCATTATTACGTTCTGTAATAAATAAAGGTGTATTTAATTATTTGCTGCACACTTATTCGAAAAATATTTAAAAAATTTTTGTTATATGAATATAGGTAACAGATTATCAAATACATACGTGTATTGTTACCAAAATATGTCGATTGAATTACGACTTCATCGAAATATAAATCTGGTTTACGTTCTTTTATTATTCGGAAAAAATTAAATTTTCTATTATTGCTGAAAGTTGAATTTGTAGTATCACAAGATACTGTCGGAATATCTGGAAAACTAATCTAGAAAAAATATTTTCTTAACAAGAACATATATTTTCATCATATTTGCTTTTTACTATCAATCAAAATTACAAAAATATATACTTTATGGAAATTAAGTGCATAAGCTTTGAATAAATACCGTTTCGTTCATTGGATTCATGTCTTTAGTCGCAGAATTTGCCTTATAGTTCTTTTTGTTGTTACTCTACAACAAAATTATTTTTATAATATTCAGTAGCTTTTAAATCTTTTTATTTATAAAATTTTATTTCTGAGGAACTATCTTATGTTCATTTGCCCTATTTTATTTCTATTTACTCTTTTAATACTTTTTAAATTTTTCTTTCGATTATTATGTATTAAATTAATTGGAAAAATCGTTTGTTAATCTCAATATTTCTTCAAGAATGATTGCTGATGGATTATTTATTAATTACAATAAAATAATTATTATAATACAAAATATAATGTAGTGGATTATTAATAATTATTAATTATAATAATTTTATTATAATTAATAAATAATCCACACACACACACTTTCCATTTGTAGAAAAAGCTTATTATTAAATTATATTCCACAACAATGGAATATAATACAATTTATAGAATTATTTAAAAGTCAGCTGATAATGGGATGAATTCTACAGCTATTTTACTTAACAAGACATGTTGAAAAATGATTAATAATATTCCTGATGCATTGTCTATTTATAATGTATATATAGCATAAAATATACAGCAGAAATACACAATATAGAAGTTATAAATAGATGTTTTATAAACATATGACCAGTATAACAGAATAGCAGGAAAATTAAAATTTAATAATTCTATCTATTTATTATCAAATGTATATCATACAAAATATATATTTTATATGTGTGTGTGTATATATATATATATAAAATATTTATTTATAAAATACATATTTTGTAATTTACAATATGAAAAATTTACATGTTTACTACATGCACATGTGTGTGTGTTTGTACACAGATACCTATAAAACATGTGAATTCTTCAGATTATAAATTGCAAAATATATATTATCATTAATATATATTTTTTAAATAAAACAACAATGTCTCTTGATTATAAGTTTTTTTCCTTTTGCTTCCATTACAAAATTGCAAATTATCATCTTCCTGCCCAATTATTTTTTTTTTTAGTATTATCTATGACGAAATGATCGAATATATAAACTGAAATTTTATCTTACTCGCTCTTGTATTCATTCCATAACCTTATAGAAATAGACTGCGTATCTGCGCATTCTTGTACAAAGATGTCTTAAACATTAGAAAGAGAGAGCGATAGCGGTTGGATCTCTTTTTCTCTCAATCATTGAAGGAGAGGGGATATCACGGCTGGAGGAAAATGAAGAGAAAAGCGTATTTTGTCGCTTTTCCTTCAACTGTGCGAGAGAGAAAGAGATCTGACCACTATCGCTCTCTCTTTCTAATGTTTAAAACAGTTTTTTGTACAGGAATACGCAGTCTATTTCTATAAATCTATGATTCATTCAAACAAACCGGCGATAAGATATAGAACAGTTCTGGAAATATAAACAAGTATTCTGTCCGTATTCTGATTAGAAAATAACTGTCGATTCTGCATAATAATCTTATAATCAAGAGAAATTCTTATTATTGCTATAACTTTGCAATAAATTCATAAAAGATTAAAGTAAAATTAAAATTAAGACAATACACAAGGATCTTTATCTAATTTCTTTCGATTTCCTGTAAATCCCTGTAAATCCCTTGTAAAATCCGATTCGATTTCTTTTACTACTACATCTATTTTCTTTTGATCCAATTGTTTATATTCCGATTTCATCCCTTCCTTTATTTTAGTTAATTCTCTTTGTACAACATCTGTTGTTGGAATAATATCAAATAGATGTGCTGTTCCCTGTAAAAGAAAAAAATACAAATATTCGATATGAATATTTTATGTAATGCTTGTAGATTAACATTTAATTATAAAACATTATTTAATGCATGCATACTGGTTAGTTGTTTTATGAACGTGTTAGATATTTATATATGTTAGGTACATCAAAAATTACCGTTGGTTTGGCTCTTCTCACATATGCATTATTATATTCTGTAATAAATAAAGGTATATAATTATTAATTTATTTGTTAATTATTAATTAACTTAATTTATTTGTTGCATACTTATGTTACTAAAAAAAATACTCTTTTATATTTTTATCATATGAATATATATAACAGATTATGAAATACATACGTGTATGATTAAGATATGCTGGTCGATTTGTGATATTATTAGAAGGTAAACTTGGACCCGGTTTACATTCATCTAGCATTACGAAATCAAATTTATCATTGTTAAAAGTTGAATTTGCAGCATCACGAGGTACTGTTGGAATATCCGGAAAACTAGTCTAAAAAATATCCTTTATTACAATTGTGTTTTCAATAAAAACTAGAAATGTATTTTATGAAAATCTAATTAATGAATTGAGTAAATACCACTTTATTCATCGGATCCATATTTTTAGTTTCAGAATTTGCCAGATTGTTCTTTTTCTTGTTATTCTACAACAAAATTATATATATAATATTATTTCTCTAAATCTTTTTTATATTATTTTATTTCTCAAAAAGTATTTTATTTTTGTCTATTATTTTATTATTTAGACAAACATTTTCAATACCTTAGTGAAATAATCTGTTTCTCTTTTTACAATTTTTGCCTTTACAGTATAATTTAATATATAAAAAGATACACAAATGAATGTGTATTTACGCACATGTGTCTCATCAGGAATTTATTATTATACAAAAATAGAAATTACATTTCATAAGAGTAATATAATTTTTATTATATGTATAACTAATTATACAACAGAACATAAAAAACTCAAATTTAAATTGTACACCATACCATATTTTACCATGTGTTAGATTTATACTATGAATAAACAATTATTATAGATATATTATAGATATATTGTATGTATATTTATATAAAAGAAAATACAAATGGTCTTGCCTTATATATTAATCTATTGTTATTAATCTTTTCTTTATATTTTTCCAATATTTTTTTTCACTTTATTTACCTTCGGAATATTAGCTTGTGCTAGATTCACATTTGCTTGGTCCAGTGGATTTAATAAATTGTTTATCTATAACAGTAAAGAATAAAGAAAATTAAAAAAAAATAAAGTCTCATATTATTCATATAAGATTAAAATTTTAATAATACATGTTATATGATAAATATTTTTAGTATATGATAGTATCTTTAAACAAATATATTATTTTATTATTTGAGCACTCTAGTTGCATTACAGAATCTTTTAGCTAATCATCATAATAAATTACCTTATTATCATTTAGCTTATTAGGATTAGGTCTGGGACCTTTGCAACATTGGGTAAAGTGATTCACATCACCACATTTTGTACATTTTGATCCCCAAGCGGGACACTTTCCAAGTGGATGTTGACAATTACATCTCCAACATTTTTTCCTTGTATCATTCATCAGCGGCTTCGGTGTGAAGCTTAGGTTTTCTGTACTTTTAGTAATTTGTTTCTTCTCCATATTGATATTTTCTTTAGTTAGTTGTTTCATCTTCTCCATATTGATATTATAATCATTATAAATTGTTACCAGTTTCTCTAAATCTAAATTTTTTGTTTCAAAAAATTTTTTACGAAGTATTTTGTCTTGAGTAATAAGGATGATTTTATCTCGTATAATACTATCCGTCATGTCATTAAAATTGCAAGATTTGGCTTTTTCCTGAAAACAATAGATATTTCAATACCAAAAAACATAAAATATTCATAATAAAAAAATGTATTACAATTCAACATACTTTTAAGATATTTATATATTGCTCAATGGTTTCATTGTGTTTTTTGTCTCTTGTAAAGAATTGAAATCGCTCGACCACCTCATTTTTTGGTGGATTAAAGAATTCTTCCAATTTCTCAATCAATATATCCATGTCATCTTTATCTTCTGGTTTGTCAAAAGTCATAGTTTGTATTGCATCAATACCAATTTTTCCAATCCGATTTTTCAAGAGATTTGCACGAATTTCATTTGATTTATTGATATATCCAGTTACTTTCATAAATATGATGAAATCTTCCTTCCAACTGTGCCAATTACTCGTCATGTCATTAGTTTTTACTAAAGGTTCCGGAGCACGTGCGTGTGCTTCCATGGTGAATGCCAAGCTTACTAAAAAGAGAAAGGAGAAAGGATGAATATTTAAAATTGTATTTCTTAAGTTTATCAATATTATTATTTTTTTTCAATTTATATTAATAAACAATGTAAATAAATAAAAATGATCTTTTGTAGTATATTATTTTATATATATATATATATATATATATATATATATATATATATAATATATAAATTATACTCTGAAAATTCATAAAATTGAGTTTTAGTAATTAACCTTTTAACTATGGCTGTTGTCGATAAATAACGAATAGGAATGCATATCTGTAGGTAAAAGATTAATAAACAGTGTTATTTTTTATGTACTTCTTTTTGAGACAAAAGAATAAAGAATACACAACGAAATTAATAAGAGAAATATAGTAAATTTGAAAGTATGAATTTATTTATTACAAATAATAAAAGTTATAAACATGTATGACTGTAAATATTATCTCTTCTCAGATAACATTATCATTTTTTGATAAAAAAGGAATAAGACCTTGAAAACAATGAATGTCTTATTAGTTAAATATTAGTAGAGTAGATTGTACATTTTATATAAAGTAGTCTTAATGTATATATAACTCTAATTTTGAAAAGGATCATTGTATATATACATGTTTTTTTTAGTTTTTTATTAATAATTATTTTCAATAAAATCAACTGTTAATAGACATTCAACAATTATTGTTATTAGCTATTCTTGGCATTAATATATTTTAATAATCTTATCAATATTATTATTAAAAATTGTATATATGTAAATAAATTAAAAATATTGCAGTTTGTCTACACAAACATAAAAGTAGTATATATGTATATACTTATTACAAAAATAGCTGAGTAATTTTTTTTATTTATATATGCAAAATAATAAGTCATATATATATATATATACATAAAAAGAAAAAAAAGACTTATAAAAGAAATTGATAAACTTTTCATTATACAATACAAAATAATTGTTGCGAATATCATCGGCCATATTCGCTTTCGAATGACGTGTTCGCTAACAATGCAATTATAGTTTGCATTTTTAATATAATTTCTTGATGATTATGATCTTCTACAGTATATAAAGTTACGTAGATAATGCATTTACCTTGTTATTAAACCTTGTTATTAACGGGTGCTCTTCAAAATAAAAATATTTTACGCTCCTCGGCTTGAATCGTGCTACGTGCTTTGTTTGCACTTGTGTGACGACGAACTTTTCTCCGGCCTTCGGCTCCTTCGTTGATCGCAGTTCGAACGTAACTGTATGTATGATAGTAGCGGTGGGAGATAATCACGGTGATCTACTGGAAATTCACCTTACGTATGCGTACAACGGATATTCCCCAGCATCATATATATATAATATATATAATATATGCATTTCTCGATAAGCTGTGCGTTCCGATGAAGGACTCTCGCACATATAGGATGCGTCATTTGCCAAAAAGGAATAGCCAATCGATGTACAGCTAGTCCGTAAGAGCGAAAAGTTGATTGGTTAGCGCCTGGCTTTTTGACACACCTAAGCCCGGGTCTACAATAGGTAATTTAAGTCCTAAGCCTTAAGAAATTGACCAATCACAGTCAGATATTCTCTTCATACTTGACTGTGATTGGTCAATTTCTTAAGGCTTAAGGCTTAAATTACCTATTGTGGACCCGGGCTAATACCTGTATCGCACTAGCAGCTGGCGGCTGCGATTGCAATTCCGTCTGAACCAGTCAGAAAGCAATGGTCAGCGATTACGATTGAAAACAGTCATTTAGCTTTTCATCTATTTTTTTTAATTGAAATTTATTATTAAATTAAGCCAGCATATAGCGAGTTAATGCGTTTTGTATGAAAGAATTCATAGTCCTTTAAAGTATAAAATTAGATTACCTGTAACAGGGTGTTCGAATTTTTTTTCAATTATTATATATCAAATCGATAAAAAATCGATTCTTAGTCCCAATTATTTCGTCAAGAATGATTGTTAATGGATTATTTATTAACAATAAAATAATTATTATTAATTATTACTATAATTAATATTAATTATTATTAATATAAACTGTTGTGAATTACTAATAATTATTATATAATTAATTATAATTAATAAATAATCCGCACACACACACATACACTTTTCTTTTGTACACTTTTACTATATATGTGTGTGTATATATAATAATAATATAGTAAACATGTGAAATCTTCATGTTATAAATTACTTAATATTATCATCAATATATATATTTTTTTAAATAAAACAACAATGTCTCTTGATTATAAACTTTTTTCTTTTGCTTCCATTGCAAAATTGCAAATTATCATTTCTCCTCCTCGTCCAATATCTTTTTAATATTTTCTATGACGAAATGATCGAATATAAATATAAATTGAAATTTTATCTTACTCGTTCCCGAATTCATTCAAACAAATCAGCAACAAGATTTAGAATAGTTCTTGAAAAATAAACAAATCTGCGTTCTAATTAGAAAATAACTGTCAGTTATTATCATTGCTATATAACTCTACAAAATATATTCATAAAAGATTAAAGAAAAATGAAAATTAAGATATTATTATACAATCTAATTATACGATCTAATTTTTTTTTGATCTCATGTAAGTTCCAATTCGATTTCTTTTATTATTGCAGTTACATCTGTTTTCTTTTGATCTAATTTAAATTCAACTTCATTCTTTATTGCAATTATGTCTCTTCACATATCTGCTTTTGAAATAATTACATCTGTTGGCCTCTGTAAAAGAAAAAAATACGAATATTCGATATGCATATTTTATAATGTTTATAGATTAACATTTAATTATAAAACATTAATTAGTGCATGCATGCTAGTTAGATGTTTTATATTATTATATAAAAAATACTTTTATACTTTTGTCACATAAATATAAATAATTACGAAATACATACGTGTATAATTAAATGGTCAATTATTTTTTTTATTATCGGAAGATAAACTTGGACCCGGTTTACATTTACCGAGCATTACAAAATCAATTTTATTATTGTCAAAAATTAAATTTGCAGCATCACCAGATATTGTCGGAATATCCGGAAAACTAGTCTAAAAAATATTTTTTCTTAATGAAAACACCCTTTATTATAATTACGTTTTTAATAAAAACTATAGAAATGTATTTTATAACAATCTAATTCATAAAAATTTATAAAATATTTAAGTAAATACCATGTTATTCATGAGATCCATATTTTGAGTATCAGAATTTGCCAGATTGTTCTTCGTCTTCCTGTTTTTTTTCTTCTACAACAAAATTATGTATATAATATTCAATTATTTCTCCCTAAATCTTTATCTGTAAAATTTAATTTCCCTAAAAATATGTTATTATGTCTGTTATATCATTTACACAAGTTATTTGTTATTTACATTAAAAAAGATTTTCAATATTTCAGTGAAATAATCTGTTTCTCTTTCCAAAATTTTTGCTGCCTTTACTGTACAATCTAATATATAAAAAATACATATATCAATGTGTATATATGTGTATCAGGAGTATATATGTGTTATCAGGAATATATTATTATTATATAAAAATAGAAATTACATTTCAGAAGAGTAATATAATTTTTGTAATATAACTAATATACTAATAACTAATATAACTAATTGTACAAACAGAATATAAAAAATCAAATTCAAATTGCATACCATACCATATTATGATATAAATGTAGAATTATTATAGATATATATTGCATATGTATACATATAGGAAGAAAAACTAGTGGTACTTCCATTTACTATTAATCTTTTTTTTATATTTTTCCAACATTTTTTTTACTTTATTTACCTTTGAAACATTAGCTTGTGCTGGATTCACATTTGCTTGATCCGTTGGATTTAATAAATTATTTATCTACAACATTAAAAAATATATAATAGAAAGTCTCACATTATTCACATAAGATTAAAATTTTAATAATATATGTTACATAGTAGGTATTTTTAATATTTTTAAACAAATATTTTATTATTTGAACACCCTAATTGCATTACAGAATCTTTTAACTAATTATAATTAACTCATTATAATTACCTTATTCTCATTTAGCTTAGGATCAGGTTTGGGACGTTTGCAACATTGAGTAAAATGGTTCATATCACCACATTTTGTACACTTTGATCCTAAAGCGGGACACTTTTCTTGTGGATGTTCACAATTACATTTCCAACATTTTTTCTTTGTATCATTATTCGGCGATTTCGGTGTGAAGCTTGTAAATTCTGTACTTTCTTTAGTAACTTGTTTTATCTTCTCCATATTGATATTTTCTTTAGTGGGTTGTTTTATTTTCTCCATATTGATATTTTCTTTAGTGGGTTGTTTTATTTTCTCCGTATTGATATTTTCTTTAGTGAATTGTTTCATTTTCTCTATATTGATATTATAGTCATTATAAATCGCTATCAGTTTCTGCAAATCTAAATTTTTTGTTTCAAAAAATTGTTTACGAAGTATTTTATCTTGAGTAATAAGAATAATTTTATCTCGTATAATACTATCCGTCAGTTCATTAAAATTACAAGTTTTGGCTTTTTCCTGAAAACAATAGATATTTCAATACCAGAAAACATAAAATATTTACAACAAGAAAGTGTATTGCAATTTAACATACTTTCAAGATGCTTATATATTGCTCAATGGTTTCATTTTGTTTTTTGTCTCTTGTAAAGAATTGAAATCGCTCAACCACCTCATTTTTTGGTGGATTAAAGAATTCTTCTAATTTCTCAATCAATATATCCATGTCATCTTTATCCTCTGGTTTGTCAAAAGTCATAGTTTGTATTGCATCAATACCAATTTTTCCAATCCGATTTTTCAAGAGGTTTGCACGAATTTCGTTTGGTTTATTGATATATCCAGTTATTTTCATAAATACGATAAAATCTTCTCTCCAACTGTGCCAATTACTGGCCATGTCGTTAGTTTTTACTAAAGGATCTGGGGCACGTGCGTGTGCTTCCATAATGAATGCTGAAGCTTACTAAAAAAGCGAAAAGATCAATATTTAAAATTATATTCCTTAATTTTACCTTCCAATACTAATAAATGCAAATAAATATAAATAATCTCTTGTAGTATATTATAATAATTTTATACGGTTTGGGTAAAGTTTTAGGATTAATTTTATAAAACATGAAAACCAAATAGTCATATCTATCCTTCGCCTTTTGAAATCTCTTGTATTAATCTCTAACTACGTTTCTATTAAATTTTATCATTATTGGTTCAGTACAATTCCTATTTGAATCTGTTTTGTGAACGAGTTTGTTTTATCTTCTTATGGAAATGTTTATCAAATAATGCGATCAAATTCTGTGTAAAATTAAATAAAATTACTAAACAAATAAAACAATAAAAAAATGTAGAATGTATTGGAAAAAATTCACCACGAGCAAAGATACTCCGATTCTAAAAGTCAAGAATTAAAACAATGCTTGGTTTTTTTTGCAAAGGGGATAAGGTATAATTAACAAAGAATTTATTCCACAACGCACAACAATTAAATGAATTTTATAAGACTGTGGAAAAGCTTGCTTGCAAAAATCAGTCGTGTGCGATTTGCTTGCTTGCAAAAATCAGTCGTGTGCGATTTGAAATGAAAAGGAATCGTGATTGGTTTCTGGATAGCACTCCGATGCATATCTTTGCAATCATTTTTTAGCATCTAAAAATCTGTTCCAATCTGGTCCTGGCTATTTTCTTTCCCCCAAACTTAAACTAAAGTCAAAAGAAAGCCGATTTCACGAAACAAATTTTGTGAAGCAGATTCAAAACAATGATACAAGAAAATTAAACAGCGTCTCAGTTTTGAATTTTTAGAACGTCTTATATAAACTGGGGAAACGCGCCAAGTTCTGTGTGGAATTAGAAGGAATATATATTGAAATATAAATAATAAATGTAAATATTATCTCTTTTCGGATAACATTTTATTACTTACTTATCTTATATTTATCGTTTTTTGATAGAAAAAGAATAAAACCTTGAAAATAATCAATGTCTTAGCTAAATATTAAATAGAGTAGATTATATAATGTAATTTTGTATAATGTAATCTCTTATAATGTATATATAATTCTAATTTTGAAAAGTATCATTGTACATACATGTTTTTTCAGTTTTATACTAGTAATTATTTTCAATAAAACTTTAACTGTTAATAGACATTCAAAAATTATTGATATTAGTTATTCTTAGCATTAATATATTTTAATAATCTTATCAATACTATTATTAAAAATTGTACGTAAATAAATTAAAAATATTGCTTGTCTACAAAACATGATAAAAGTAGTATATATATATATATATATATATATATATATATATATATATATACTTGTTACAAAGCAGCTGGGAAATTTTCCTTATTTATATATGAAAAATAATAAGTAATGAAAAATAATATATATATATAAATATATGTGTGTGTGTGTGTGTACATAAAAGAAAATAAAGACAGATTTTGAAAAGAAATTGATAAACTTTTAGTATGCGCAATAAAAAACAATTATTGCAAATTTCATCCGCCATATTCGCCTTCGAATGACGTATGCAATTATAGCTTGCATTTTAAACATAACAATTTTTATGATTATGTTGATCTTTTACAATATATAAAGCTACATAAATAATGTATGTACCTTTTTCTTAAATGTGCGCTCTTCAAAAAAAAATATTTTACGCTCCTCGACTTGAATCGCGTTTCGTACGTAACTTGTGTGTGACGACAAACTTATTTCTCCTTCCTTCGTCGATCGCAATACGAACGGAACTGTATGATATCATCACTATATGCGATCATCTACATATAGTATTGGACGAAACATGGAATCGAAATCGTGTTGACAGACGTAGAAAGAGATAAGGCCGCAGCACACACTTTTGCATAAGTGCATAATCATAAGCATAAGAAAATTGATTGGTTCATTTTCTTATGCATATACTTGGGGACCAATCAATTTCCTTATGCTTATGGTTATGTGCTTATGCAAAAGTGTGTGCTGCGGCCTATAAGGGGAACGGTTCATGAGCGAAGATATTTTTAGATTTTATATATCTTATCTGTGTTTAACCCATTCGTTTTGCATAATAAATCAGCAGAAATCATATTACTAATTATTTGTATATAATATCTCTCTATAAAATATTTTTATATGCTGTTTTTTCATATATAGTAATAAATTTAAGGTCTCAACTTATAAGAATACGGTACTGTTCCTTTTCTCCTTCGACAAAATTCAACCAATCAAAAGAGACTAGAATGAGAGATCCGTGCCCCCACATCTACTTCTCTCTTTCTAAATCTCTCAATAACATAAAAGATCAAAGAAATTTTGCCGCATGTTCCGTTCAGTACTATACTATACTATACATATGTGAAGGGTATTCCCCAAAGCATACATATGATAGCCAATCAATTTACAGTTAATCTGTAAAAGCGAAAAATTGATTAGCGCATCGATTTTTGACATTACGTTGATACGTTCTGAATGCAAGAGTTTATAATTCTTTAATATTATATAAGTGTGAATTGCCATTGCTAATTCAGTTTGATTGTCAGAAAAAAGAGATACATTGGAGAACTACAGCAATAATTACTCCCAATTAAAAATTAGGAGTAATTTATGATACATTTTAAAGGCCTATTTAAAAATCAATAAAGTCTAATATAGTATAGTAATTAAGCCATAAGAAATTGATCAATTACAGTTCATTATTTTGCACACATTCGTCTGTGATTGATTAGTTTTTTATGGTTTAAAGCACATCAATTATAGGCTTATCCTATAATTATATATATGTATATATAATGTATATTGTGTGTGTGTGTGTGTGTGTGTGTGTGTGTGTGTGTGTGTGTGTGTGTGTAGAATGTATGTGCGTGTATACATTAATTAAATTCAATTTTATCATCCCTTTTTATTTTTTTTTTCTTATTTTTCTTTTTCTCTTTATTTCTCCCTTATTCTGTTATATATTATACATGCATAATGACATGTCTATAAAACAATGAAAGAAATATTTATAAAATTCAATATTTGATAATTTTTCAAAAAACTTTAACTAAAATTATCATTCGCTACGTTTCTTTAAATTCTTTCATATTATTTGTTTAACTCTTTTACATTTATTATTGATTCGATGAATAATACAAAAGAAAAAGTTTGTGAAAGTGACGATGATTTGAATTTCGCGCGCAAATTGTGAGAGACCAAAATCGTTATCGAGACTGTTATCATTTTGATCTTGTAAGTTGAATAATAATTTAATCGAACAATAATCAATTCCTTATTTAACTAATATAATAAAAAGCCATAATCTCTCTCTAATACGGGCTTTGCGCATATCTGCAGCTGATGCTCTGTTTGGACGTTTTCCATTTAGCGACACAGGTCAACCTAATCGTCATTCTGTCTTTTTTAAACATCAGTGAATGACAAAGATAGAATGACACTTGTGTTGAATTACGTCGCTAAATGGAAAGCATCCTATGTATCTTACACGCTACGGTATATGTAGTGTACAGGGTGTATAAAAAGTATTCGAACAAAATATCCCGAAAACCAAGCATACTAATTAATTTGCAATTAACAGATACATATTTTTTCTTAAAATAATTGTTTTTTTTACATCAATGAATTCTTCCCATTATTTTGTGCCTAAATAAAGTATTGAAATAAAATCATCGAACAGTGAATGTCGTACAAGATATTTTATAGTTAATGTAAAATTAAGAAATTATTTCAAGTCTTAGAACTCAAAAGGTACTTAACCAAAAAATACTTAATTATAGTTCTTTGGAAAGCTCTCGAGATAAACTATAAGAATACGTAATAAAAAATAGGGGGTTGCATTTTAAAAATTCAAGGTGACGTTGTCCTGACGTTGGCGATGCCACCCAAGGTCAAACTCCTAGCGCCAGTAAATCAATCTTTCGAAAGCCTACAACTTTCATCCGAAGCATTTTTTTCCAAAGTGCTTAGTTTTCGAGATATTTATTTGGCCGTCCCGGTACTTCTCGTACACCCGGTATATAAGCTTCCACGACGCTGGCGCCGCGAAACGGGGGAGATCGGAACGACACGCGTCCCGATACGTGCGTTCGCACTCGTTCGTGGTTGATTCGCGTGGTTTTCGGGAGCAACGCGAACAACGTGATCGTCGACGTGATGACGTCAGATCTCGAAGCATAGGCCGAGAGTAACGCGAGTGTGTGTTTAAAGCCGAGGCCAGGCAGGGCGTGTGTGAAATCGTGCGTCGTGCGTTCCTTCCTTCCGTCATCGGATGGAAGGTATGTGCAAATAACGGCGCGAGCGCGCGTCCGTTTGTCCGTCCGTCCCGTTTGTTCGTTCGTTCGTTCGTTGGTTGGTTGGTTCGTCGGTTGGTTTTTATCCGCCGGGATAGAAATTATGTACGGTGCTGTTTTAACGTGATACGCGTGAAGACGGTGAAGAATAGAATAAAAATAGTTAGAGTACCATGTTCCGCTGCATTCCGATTTTTAAAGGGTGTAACAGGCAGGTGGAATACGTTGACAAACGTCACTGCTCTCTGCCCTGCATCCCCGACGACATCCTGCGTTACTCCAGGAGTCTCGAGGAGCTTCTGCTGGACGCGAATCACATCCGCGATCTGCCAAAGGTGAGAAAGGCAGATCCCACTTTTTTCGTAAACAATGTTCGGGGGAAATTTATTTATTTTTTTTTCATCTTCATTATTCCACTTTTCTCCCCATGCAGCGCAGAATATTTCAGCAATATTGCAGCAACATTGCAATATTACCGCAATGTTCCGTGATGTACGGGCTCGATTTAAATCCACGTTTCACCTTGTGCTGTGTTTCAGAACTTCTTTCGACTCCAGAGGCTGCGAAAGCTCGGCCTGAGCGACAATGAAATACACCGCTTGCCGCCGGACATCCAGAACTTCGAGAACCTCGTCGAGCTGGACGTGTCCAGGAACGGTGAGATTATTAGAGTAAAAGTCGTATGTACGCTAGATAGATAAATAGACACACGACGGCGAGATAAATGTATTGATGCGTGGACGCCGTCTAGGAATTCAAGCAATTAATCGTAATTAAGTCTCATTAGAACGGGCTTGTTGATTTCTCACGCCCGGCATCGCCCCTTCCCCCCCCCCCCCCGACGTCATCCTTCGTCGTCGTCGCTTTCGAGGATTCCGATTTATTCGCGCTTCTCTTGAAAAGGAGAAAGGAGGCGTCGCGCGATGACAAAAGGGCGACTTAAGGCGGATTTACATGAAATTACATATAATAAATACCGCTCGCGGACACGCGACGAGGGCAAGGCGGAGTTCATTTATCGAGAGAGAGAGAGAGAGAGAAAGAAAGAGAGATAGATGGATGATCTCCTGATTCTCGAGGCAAAGCTCGAGGATAGTCGGGCGACCATTAGCTAACGAAATGCATGCATAACGGTGTATTTTCCTTCACCTCTTCTCGTGTCTCTGGTCTCGGCTCCGAACCGACACCGCGTCCGTCGCGGCCGCGAGCCGAGCCGAGCCGAGTCGAGCCGAGGCGGGCGGCTCGCCCCGCCCCGCCCCGTCTGTCACTGGCGCCTGTCATAAATATTTCTCCGCCTCGAGCGTATCGGTTTTCCTTTCCTCGCGGGCGAGGGGTTTCCTACCTGTTGCAACGTGGCTCGATTGTCAAAAAAACGGCCTCTCGGCCTCCGGAAAAAGTGTGGGATTTTTCTTATTGTCGAGAGAAAATCGGGGAATTTTTTCGATAATCCGGAATTTTGTTGTATTTTATTGTTGAGAGTCGAGGTAATTTTCCTCTCCGATATAATTTCGCTCTTATATTCGAGGCTTATATTATATGTACTCGTTGAAAAAGCTCAGGAAACCTGAAGTTCTCGTTCTATATTACGTGGAAAAAATAGGGGATTGTCAGGAAATTAAATGGAATTTTATTGGGAATCGAGGATGTTTTTCTTAAGGATAATTCTCGAGGATAAATTTTTCTTTTATAAGTTTGCTCCTATATTCGATGTGTCTACTCTTCAGAAAAATATGGAAACTGGAAGTTTCCAGGGATTCTTTGTACCTGCAGGAATCAAGGGATTTTATGATGGGGGCTTAGGGAATTTTTTGAAAATTTTCTTTTACATCTTGATCTTATATATAGAATGTTTACTTCTTTAAAAAATGTGGAACCTGAAATTCTTAAGGATTTTTTTTTTATACCTAAAAAAATCAGGAAATTATTATGGAATTATAACTCAAGAAATTAAAAAAAAACTTTCTCTGATATTTTTGCTTTTATATTGCAATGTTCGTCAAACTGCAAATTATAATATATTTATAAATTCAATATCTTAATAATCTACATATCCAATATATATTTCTCTCTCTCTCTCATTGTATAATTTTTGTTATAAAATTTTGTAATTTTTAGTGATAAAATGAAAATGCAAGTAAAAAATGCCTATTTAAGAAAACCATTATCAGTTCTTTTGAGTTCATTTTCAAATCTAAATATTTAAAACTTGGAGAGTGGCTCTTCTTCATTTTGTCTCGTGCGAGTGAAAAGCATTAGAAAAGGCACACAATAAAAAATTATTTTAAAAAGCCATATTTAAAAATTCTTTTTTTATTTAATTAAAAGCTGAATTTTCTTAGAATTTTGAATAAAAATACCTAGAAAATCAGGGAATTTTTTCAAAAATTTGAGTAGACATTCCGAAAAAGAATTAAATGAGATAAATAGCACGAAATAGAGGTGAGAAAATCAGAGATTTTTAAAAATATATGTTTAAAATTTTTGGTCAGGTAGAAATATTTGTATGCACGCATATAAAGAAAAAATGAAAGAGAGGAGAGTTGAAAGAACATTTATATTGCAATATGAGAAAATTAAATTATTTAAATAGACATTTATTAAAGATTTACTTCAATTAATAAGTAGAAAATGTGTCTCCCTATTTCGTACAAAGGCTGGATTGAAGGTATATTCATGGAGTATTTATAGGAAATATACGGGTGAACTCGACGGATTCTAAAGAAAGATTTTCATATTAGATTAATTCTGTCGATGATTGGTTGACCGAGAAAACACAACACACTTTATTGACAGAAGCACGAAGCCGATCATGCAGTCAAGTCACGTGTCCTTACATTACACAAAATACGCCTGACGTTACACCAAATACCGGTGTTTTCACTTTTTATTGTCGGAGGATAAAGCGAACGAAAGGAAAGAGGTGAACTAAAATCAACGTACGATTATATTTTTAGATTTTTAGCCCACAGGTGAAAGTTTGAAATGAAAAGTTTACACACATTCGTTATCTATATTCACTGAAAATTGCAGCATATTGTATCAATTTTGACGATATTGTTTTAAGCTTTTTGTCTGCGATAAAAAACAAAAAGAAAAACTTTTTTCAAAAGTAAACTAAAATTGTGAGGACCGAAATATAAATTTACCTTCAAACCGACGTGTGCTGAAAATTACAACACATGGTAAAAATTATATTAAAGGGATAAAAAATATGGAACAGACTATTTAGAATAAAAAAATTAACTATTTAGAATAACGAGATATCAAAAAGGATTATTTTATTCACGTAATTAATTAATAATTAAATTCTATTTATTAATTGATTAATATCACGAGAAATAAAAAAAAGAGTTTCAGACAAAAATTCGAGAGATTCTCGGTACAAGTCGAATTAACAAACGAAGAATACGCAAATTTTTTAATTTTATTTTTATAATGAAATAAATTGTTAATTAAGCAGCTTATATTAGGCTTATATTAAGTTCGCGTGTCAGGCATGATAATATTTTCAATATTTAATAATCACACAAAAAATAGAGGCTCTAGTAGCTTTCATCTGCGAGAATGACATTTGACGCCTCGATCTTAATCTAGAATTAAATAATTTTTCAGACGAGAGATATAAAAAATATGTGCCTTCGAGAAAAAGTTAATAAAATAAAATAAAATAAAAATAAAAAATAAAAAAGCTCTAATATAATAAAAATTAAAAATTTAATAAAAATTATCCGAGACGTGAAATATGTATATCTTTCGCAATCATTATCGCTCATAATGGAAATAATACCGTTATGTACACATGTGCAATTATCACAACTACTATCAGCATTGTTCGTAACGCATTGTTTCCCTTTATAATGGCTCGCGATGTCGCGAATTGCGCGATCGCCACTCGCGGTCATCCGGGGGATCCCCGCCAAGTATTTATGATCTATTATGCACTGAAATATATACGTTACGTATTTGTTTCCGTTTACAACAATATCCTACGCTGACACTGATTCATCGGCACGGAATCGCTCAAGAGCTCCTCTCCATCGAACGTAAAAGATGAATAGATTGCGTAATCGCGACAGGTTTTTCTCAGATAACGACTACCTATATATGTACATATCGCATTCCTCTGATTTCCCCCGACTTTGTGCCTCTTGCTTTAAATTTTCAACCATTAAGAATCATTTGGCTTTTGTTTACATCTTATCGAGTTGTTATTTCAAGGTCGCTCGAGAAGAGATATTTTGCAAATATATTTGAGATTTGAAACACGTGAGAAGAGGACTTTATGTGTCTCTTTTACTTCTATTATACGGTCGACCGGAAATTGTACATTGATCGCTTTCGGATTGACATTAAAAAAAAAAAAGAAAAATGTTTTGCTAATGTAGGTGGGTTTCTAGGTGTCACGATAAAATTTATCGTTATTTTTTTCTCTCCTCTGGAACGTTGTTTGCAACATGTGGAATTTATAGCAGCGAATTCTAGCGAACCTTTGTGTCTTCTGACACATTTAAGTTCCATTATCAAATATTAATCACACTGCATTGAATAAATATTCGATATTATAGCTGGAATCTATGATCTTTGTGAGAAAATTCTTCTGCGTATCATGGTCGAAGTAGAACAGGATTTATACTTCCGGGAAAAAATTTATACTCCCTTGAAAATCTGATATTCTCAGGGATTTTGCGTTCTATTTTGAAAAATCAGGAAATTCTCAATTTGAAGTTTTATTTGGAATTTTATTGGGAAATTTAATTTAAAAAATTGATAATTTTCATTATCTTGTTTTTGTGTTAATATAAATAGCTTTAATTTTGAAACTATGAAGACTGTGTAGCTTAAGAACTCAAGAAATTTATTCTTTTGCAATATTTAAACTTTGAAATTATATTTTATTTTTCTTTTTAACATCTCTTCTATTAGTTTTTTGTATATTTTATTTTAAAATTATATTAAATAATATTAATATTTAATATAATTTTATATATTTATTTAATATTTATTTAACATTTATATTTATTTAATATTATTTTATACATTTATTTAATATATATAATTATTTTATAATTATATTAAATATCTTTAATATAATTTCAATATAATTTCTTTATTTCTTTTATTCTTAATTTAATATAATTTCTTTAATATAATTAAATTAAAGATATTTTTGTTATATTTAAATAACATAACATGTTATATACATATTCTTTCATATTCAAATAACGCAATATATATACAATATATTTTTTGATAGTATTTTTATAATATTTTTATACGTTTTTTTTTAAATATTTTTTAAAATATTTAATATGAAATTTTTCAAGTTTAAAATAGATTAAAATATTTTTTATTTATATTAAAAAATCGCATAATAAATAAAACTTATTTAAAAGTGCAGTTAAAATTCTACCTGAAATTTTGAACAAAAATACTTGGAAAATTATGAACTCTTCAAGGAATTTATTTACAAGAATATCTCTACATAATAAGTATAAGTAATTCTAATATCAATCACCACAGAAAGATTTTTTCCTAAATTCGACTGACAATTTAGATATAAATTTTACCTCTGTTATTTAGATCAATTAAACGCGAAACGTACGAGATGTCACAGTATTCCCTAATCACTTATCTACCTCAATTAATTTCTCGCACCTGGAAAATTGTCACCGCAGTTGCAGGATTATCCTTTGGAGCGTCGAGGACTGCAAATTAAATGGAATTACGTGCAGCTTTAATCGGAATCCCTTCCCCGTCTCGCGTTTTTATGTCCATTCTCTCTCTCTCGCGGCTCGTGCGTGCAAACACGCAATAGAGTAACGATCTCCCGTCACCTCCTCCGAGGTAAATTACAAAGGCCGAGGGTGGAACGTTTCGTGCTATTTATAATGTTTATTGCGGTTGCATTAAAAGGGGCCGTCGACTAACCGCAATGCCATGCATGGCATCTGAAAATTGACGGTGTGTGTTTGAAAAAAAGGACGTAATATATATGCATAAGAGTGAGAGAGAGAGGGGGAGGGGGTGGCCTCTCTGGACCATCGCGCATTTCCATCCAACCGTAGATTCTTTTTCGTCCACATCCATAGAAAATCGACCCCTCGTCTCTTTTCTAGCGTAAATTCATCCAAGCTTATAAGCCTACTCTGCCGCATTTGGCGGCATTTTCTTTCATTTTCGACGGTGCCGTATTTTCTGTTTTGCTAATAAAATGTCAAAGAGTAGGCGCTTCTGTCCTATTATCAATTTCTCGTACCAATTTTTGCAATTAAACGCGCTTTAACCATGTTCAATTTAATAAATGTCACCTTGTCAATGGTTTGATTTATTTATTCGAGAAAAACTTTGATAATTTTTTGAGTAAATACATGGATGCGGGACTTCGTAATTGGTTGTACAACTGGGAAGGTGAGAATAATAGGTGATAATTGGTAGGTAATTGACAAGGAATAATTGCACATAAAAAAATTAAAAAGGCGAGAATTTAAAATACATTTTTGTATAAAAGAATTTCGAGAAAATTGATTTCAAAATTTGAAAAATTAATAATAAATTGATGAAAAATTAATAAAATTCTTACTAAATTTTTGAAAATATAATATTCCATTTATAACAATAAGATATTTTAAAATAATTTAAGATACTTTTCTTACATTTAACTAACACATTTCTTAAGAGTTTATAATATTTTTATTTAATATTTTATAATTTTTTTTAAGTTTAAAATATATTAAAATATATTTTATTTATGTTAAAAAATCGTAATAAATAAACTTACTTTAAAAGTGCATCTAAAAATACTTTAATTCTACCTGGAATTTTGAACAAAAATACCTGGAAAATTATGAAATCTTCAGGAAAATTGTGCATACAATATTCAGATAAACTTTAGTTTACAATAGAAAAAAGTATCTTTTTACATGTTATATGTCTTAATAGCTATTATCGAGAAAAAACTGATATGCAACACAATATTGTTAAAAGTCACTTGAGTTTGTCGTGTTATTAATTAAAGCTTAATGCGTTATCAAGTTTTGAATTTTCAAAGCTAATTTTCTCGAAAACAAAATCATGTATACGAAAACATTTTATTCTACATTTTTTACTACTTTTTTCATATAGAATCATCTTTCGGTGATTGTACCACCAGCTATGAGACAAACACATCTACATGTGTTTACTTAAATCTTTCCCCTCTATAGAATTTAATTTTATGATGACACCATCGTGACATTTAAATTCTTATCAAAATGTCATTTTCTTGCTTTTTTGTGATAAAAAAAACAGGATGTTTACTTCATGGAAAAACACATGAATAATCTGGAATTTTATTGGAATTCAGGAAAATTTTTTAAAAAGTTCTCTCTCTCTCTGTCTGATAATTTTGCTTTTATATTATAAACAATTTTCTGATAAACCAAGTCATGAATTATATATTTAAGATATATTATAAATATATCTATGTATCTCTGTTTACATATTTGGTGACTTAATAAACTTCTAAACATGCAATACATATTTTTTATTATATTATTATAATTTTCAGTGATAAAAAATTAAAATGTTATGCAAGTGAACACTGTTTATCTTAAGAGCTATTTAGTTTTTTTCGATATATTGCTGCCTCGAAGCTTTAATAGTTCTGTTTTTCCTTCATAAATGAATAACATTAGAAAACACACATGTAATAAAAAAAATGTATTTTAAAAAATTGCGGAAAATCTCTAAAATATTGTCTTCGCCTGGAATTTTGAACGAAAATATGCCTGGAAAAACTCAGGAAATTGTTTTTCTTTTACAAGATTTTTGAGTAAACACCCTGAAAAATGTCAACGACTGAGAGGAGCGAATTTTTTTCCCAGCGGAATCACGCTTTGTTGTAATTTCCTTTCGTCGGTGTCGCGATGCGTTTGACGCAGGAGCCGTTCTACTCTTTGATGTCCATGAAGCGAGACACGTGGAGTAGCCTTCGCAATCTTTTTTTCCAGCGATATATTAAATATCATTGACATATCGGGGAGAAAAAAAAGAGCGCGTCGTCTAGTCAGTTATATGGGTGTTATTCGAGGATATCTCGAAGCTGCAACTGCTCTTTATTTTCCACCCACGCATTTTCCATGAAAATTGCTATAATTCCAGACCATCGTGTTCTCTCATAACGATTAATTAACGTGTGCGATGCGATATCGCAGTCAAATCGATATTCGAGCGATATCGGAAAAGAGTTAAAACTAATTGATGATTATCGAATAACGTTTACTTTGTTGTCTTACAGATATACCGGACATTCCTGAGAACATCAAAAATTTACAGGCGCTACAGGTGGCGGACTTCAGCAGTAATCCTATTCCAAGGTGAGTCAATTATTCTTATCTTTTTCCCTATACGTTTAACGCACCAATAACGCATACAGAAATTAATAGAAAATATATTTTATTGTTCTTTTTCTCCTTCTCGACAATTCGTCGTTTTATATTCTTATATATCTTTGTATATTTTTCAGGCTTCCAGCAGGATTTGTACAGCTAAGGAATTTAACTGTACTTGGACTTAACGATATGTCCCTTACAAACTTGCCACCTGATTTTGGAAGGTAATATCTCGCAGTAAACCTCAAAGCTACAGTATTCAGGTACTGTTACACCACGTTCATTCGTCATTTCGTCAATTATTGGGAGTATATGTTTCCCTTGTAGTTTGGAGGCATTGCAGTCGCTGGAATTGAGGGAGAATTTGCTCAAATCCTTGCCCGAATCGCTCTCACAGCTCTTCAAGCTCGAACGACTGGATCTCGGTGATAATGAGATCGAAGAATTGGTGAGCTGGACAATCTCAGCAAGAAATTTTACCACGAAAATGATTACATTTTTACGCAAAGGATCTTGTTGTTTTAAATATAAAAATTATGTATCGTTATCCTTTTATGCAGGCTTTTTTATTTTTATTACCCTTATAATAATAATGATTCTTTTAATAAAGTTAGTCGTACGGATAAGGATTTTTCCCGTGAGATTATAAGTTTCTCTTTAATATCTCTATAAACTTAAAGCTTTATAAGTTTTTGCATACCATCTATATTTATTGTCCTTTCGGCGATCTGATATTTTTATACCGATCAATTAAATTCTCAGTCATGAACTAATTATAGAAAGGAGTTTTTATTATATGTTTTTTTTCTAGCCTTCGCATATAGGAAAATTACCAGCGCTACAAGAATTGTGGCTCGATCATAATCAGTTGCAACACTTGCCCCCTGAAATAGGCGAGCTGAAAACGCTAGCGTGTTTAGACGTTTCGGAAAATCGCTTGGAGGATCTTCCTGATGAAATCGGCGGTCTCGAATCGTTAACGGACTTGCACTTGTCGCAGAATGTTATCGAGAAATTACCCGACGGACTTGGCGAACTGAAGAAATTAACTATCCTCAAAGTAGATCAAAATAGACTCTCTACATTAAATCCAAGTATAGGAAAGTAAGTGAAAAAATTTAAATCTCTCTGTTGTATTAATTTGTATGAGGATGAATTATTCATATCTTATTTATGTTTCAGATGCGAGAATTTGCAGGAATTGATTCTTACAGAGAATTTTCTCTTAGAGTTACCGGTATCGATAGGCAAACTTTGCAATTTAAATAATTTGAATGTCGATAGAAATAGTCTGCAATTTCTACCGATAGAAATTGGTAAGATAACATGATAAAAGACAACTCAGTTTTTTTAAATTAAACATATGAAAGTGTAAATTTTAATTTGCAAAAAAACGATACATGACTGGATAATTGCACTTTCTTTCATTTTCTAGGAAATTTGAAAAAGTTGGGTGTATTGTCTTTAAGAGACAATAAATTACAATATCTTCCAGCTGAAGTGGGACAGTGCAGTGCCCTTCATGTTTTAGATGTATCTGGCAACAGGTATTTAGCATCATATTTATTAAATATAGAGAAAAGATGATATAAAAAAAGATTCTAATACATGTTGTGAAGATTATCTTATTAAAGAAGTAATTGTGCGTATATTTTTGTTACACAGATTACATTATTTACCATATTCTTTGATCAATCTGAATCTGAAAGCGGTATGGTTAAGCGAAAACCAGGCGCAACCAATGTTAACGTTTCAAACAGATGTTGACGAGGAAACGGGTCAAGAAGTATTAACGTGTTTTCTTTTACCACAATTGGAATTCCATCCTGATGGTCAGTAATTATTTATTATTTAATTATATATTATATATTTTAGTTCGATATTTAAATTGATTTTATTTATTATTTAGTTGTATATTTTTTTAAACTTTATCAAATCCATTTAATCACTTCAAATTTCAATTTTGTTACATACATGATGATGGATTTAGAAAATGTCATAAAATTTACATGAATATAAAATACATTAATCTATAAGATAATGTAAAATAAATAATATATTTTTTGCTTTTATTTTGTTTTTTTCTTCAAAATTTTACTTGGATATTTAAATTAATAGTTCTCAGATATATATAGAACTAAAAATAAATTTCTTTATTTAAATTAAGCAAGAGAATGCAATTCTATTAGTGATTGATAAGAGATTATATAATTTGATTATTCTGATTTTTATATATTTACTATCTAATCCACAACTGATAATTTCGTTTTTTAGATTCAGGTAGACTGGGAATGTTGGTTGGTATGAGAAACGTTCCAGGTGAGATGCGTGAATTGACAAGTAGTGACGATGAAGGCTGGCAAGAAAGAGAAGCATCAAGGACACATTCAGTGAAATTTACCGACGAACCACCAGAAGCTGATAAAGAAGTATATGTTTATACCTTTATTTTCCTTCTCTTCAATGTTACTTTGCTTTATTTCTTCTCTTTTTATTTAAATAGACTCCATTTGTACGTCAAAACACACCACATCCAAAAGAGTTGAAAGCTAAAGCACACAAGTTATTTAGCAAAGGGAAAAGTGAAAGTCGATCAGAATCTACAGATGACCAGGTAAATTTCATAATTAACTTATTCTTTTTCAAATTGATAAATCAAGAAAAATTTAATTTTTTAATTCTAAATTCTAATTCTTTATTCTTAATGAATTTTGTTTTGTGTATTGCCTTGTAAAATAATTTAAATTTTTTTTAGGATGTTTCTCAAACATTTGGATTAGATAAAACTGAACCAGAGACACTGACCAACACTGTAGATATGCCGCAAAGTGTTTCTGAACAAGAAGAACCTGTGGCAGATACTGTACAAAATAATCATAAATTACCACTAACACCTGGTACCGAATCAGAGAGTACAGATATTCAAATTAATAAAGAAATAGATGAGCCTCCTATTCAGTATGCTACAGAATCTCATTCGGTAAATAAAATTTAGAAAAATATTTTTATTTTAATAACGATTACACGAATAATTATTACAAATACAATTGTCAGTTACAATTATCTTTTACATCTTTTATAATGTGTCGATTTTATAAAAGCAGTTATTGATATTAAGTAAAATATCTTCATAAGCATTTATACACAACATGATAATAAATATATTAATTATTAATTTTTATTTGTTTTATTTACATTAAATATATATAATTACTTATATTTTTAAGAATTTCTCTATCTTTTACTATTAAATAAATTAAAAATTTTATTTTCTGTACAGAATGCAAAAGCTGAAAATTCCATCCCAGAATCAAAAGAAAGAGAAGAGTATGAGGAGGAATCTGAAAACGAAGATGTGCAAAGACACGTCGAATTTAGTATTGCAGAAGACGCTAATAACGAGGATATTAGTGAGTCAAATAAGCCCAATAAACTTCAACGTAGAGACACTCCACATCATCTGAAAAATAAACGCATTCATACGGCAATTGACAAGGAAAAAGTTGCTTCCATTATAGCACAGGTTAATATTTTATTCGTTTCTCGATGAGTAAAAAAAAATTATATTTATTTACAATATGCAAATATTTACTTGTGACATGGAAATATTTTGTATTAACAAATAACTTGTAAAAGATATATGCAATGTTCTTATTTGCCGATATGTTTAATCAACAATGTATTTTATATAGTTGATTCATCATAACTATGTAATTCGTCTCATATTTATAGGCACTTTTGAAAAAATCTGATGAAACTTCTACATCTTTACCTTCACAAATAGAGTCCACAGAAACCTTTGATGCGCATAATCAAGGTAAATTTAAGAATTAAGTTAAAAACTATTACATTAAAGTATAATTATTTGCATAAAATTATTTACTTCTACTTAATTAAAATATAATTTTAATAGTTATTAATTAATAATTTATTTAAATTTCATTATTTACGTTTTTATCACAATTTTTACTACGTCTGTTATGATAATAATACATTTACTCTTTTGGAGTAAGTTTTTATCAGTTATGCATCAATAAAATTTTCATTGAAAAATAATGATAAGGAATTTAAAAAATTTGTTATGCATGAATCATTTGAATTTATCACGTAAAAAAGAAGGGGGGACAGATAAGATATATCTTGTACTCAACCTACCTATCATCTTATCTCTAATCTAGTTATCAGTGTGTCTCTCAGTAGTTAAGAAGTGTTATAGAACAATTATAATTGAGAATATTCGCGTGGAGTATACATACAAAATAATATTTTTTACGTAAATAAAATAAAGATAAATTACTGAATATAATGCCTAAAAAATATAAATGTTTTATTAAAAATAAAAGAATTAAAAGAGGTAAACAAACTTGACATATGACATAAATGTATTTATTAATTGTATTAACAATACACGGTTAAATAATGAAAAATTTGTACCTTTAGATGCGACGTCTGACATTGAACCAGCACTGGAGATACGGGAGGAGCAATATGAGATTCATATAGAAAGAACGACAGGCGGATTAGGTCTGTCAATAGCTGGTGGTATCGGATCGACGCCTTTCAAAGGTGAAGACGAAGGCATTTTCATTTCAAGAGTTACTGAAGGTAAATATTTATTTACGAATAAATAATTTTATCAAAAGTAATGGGATGACAAATCTGTTTGATGACAAGTCTATACTATTCTCTAGTTAATGTCTTTTGATCTATTTTTCGATTCATAATTATATATACACATTTAATATTCTTTTTTATAAAAAAACTTTATTGCATTATTGCACACAAACATTTTTTTGATTAAACATTTAAAGTTATTTAGTATTTGTAATGTGTGTAAAATGATAACTCACTCTATTCATTTTCAGGTGGACCTGCGGACTTGGCTGGTTTGAGAGTAGGTGATAAAGTGATATCCGTAAATGGAGTATCGGTAGTGAATGTAGACCATTACGATGCCGTAGAAGTGTTAAAAGCGTGCGGACGTGTCCTTATATTAAATATTATAAGGGAAGTTACGAGGATAGTTCCACCCTACGAACAGGTATTGAATAATTATATTTTATCATCTAATTACTTGATTAAATTGATCGTTATTTTAAATACAAGCGCAAAATCAGTATTTGTGATGATAGCTTGTGATTGTTAATCTTTTCTTTAGGCACCGACGAGAAAAGATTCCGTCTGCTCTAGTTTAAGCACAAGTAGAGCACCAAGTGCGACGTCTTACGTGTCATCCACAGCGTTATCGCATACATTAGAAAATGGCGACGCATCCGTGACCCATGAAACTGCGAAGGTAACACGTTCGTGTCTAAATATTTTCGATAATAATAATCTGTCGGCGATAATATTTATATGATTAATGGATTTGCATTTAATATATCGTAGACAAAAAGGATTCCCGAACCTATAAATTCTCTGAAGTCGAGTAGTGAACCTATGGTGTCTGTTCTCTTTCATACAACACTGATACGAGACCAGAATGGACTTGGATTTAGTATTGCCGGTGGGGAAGGTTCACCGCCATTTAAAGATAATAGTGATGTAAGTATTTTCAGTAAAAATTAAATCAAAATTGAAATTCAATTTTAATTTAATTTTTATTTATTTATTTGAGCCAAATTCCTAATTATTAATTTTACAATAAAACTTTTCTATTCCTTAAGATCATTTTAATTAATTACTATCATAATCGCTTCTAGGCCATATTTATCTCGAGAATAACGGACGGTGGAGTTGCCCAAAAGGATGGCAAATTATTAGTCGGAGACAAAGTAATATCTGTAAGTATATTTTCATCGAGTTCAAGTATAAGTTCATGAAACACGTAATCTTTCGATGGAAATTAAGTCATTTTCTTAAAAAAAAATGCAGATTAATGGAGTAGATATGAGGGGAGCTAAACATGAACAAGCTGTGGCTCTACTCACCGGTTTGGAAAGATTTGTTCGACTAGTGGTCGAAAGGGAAATACCGCTTTCTCAAGCAAATCCCGCCTCCACCGTGGTAACTCCATCGGAAAAATCGCCGCGTGTTATAGGTGCGCCGAAACCTTACACAGGCCTGTACAATGCCAATAGTTACATGGCGAATAGATCTGGATACGCCGGATATCGTCGTTCCATGGACGCCGATAAGGCACTGTCGCCAAGTCCCACTTCGAAGACGCCCCCGCCGACATTACCTGCCAAGTCCGATCAAGTCGTCGAAGAAATGCCTAAGATGAACGGCGTGAGTGATTCGGGGAAGAACGTTTCGCCAACGTCCTATGGCCCGATTAATCAAGCATCGTATCCGCAACCGGCTCCGAGGCATAGCGTCACGCAGATGACGTCACCTACCGTGAATAATATCACCGGTTCCGCGACTACGACTACTCCCGCCTCTCATGTAGAGCCTAGACCGGATGAGACTGCCCAAGAGGATATACAGGTACCGAAGCCTATCACCAACGAGGAATTTCAAGCTATGATCCCCGCTCATTTCCTTCGTCCTCCAACATCCTCGCCTTCGCCAGACTCCCATCAAGGCCCCATTGTGACGGTGACGATAAAGCAGCCTGATACATTGCCCGGGGATGTTAGCTTCCCTCCAGCTCCCACTACACTCGGTAAAGTTACTGAGACCATCACAAAGAGTACGCTCACCGAGACCGTCGTAACTAGGGTGACTGACAACCAGTTGGTACAACCGCTCATTATCGAGGTATGTGCATGTGCCTTGTTAGATCGAAGCATCAAATAGATTGCACATGTGTAGTATAGCTGTCAATAAAGCCTCGCATGCTAAAAGCATTATGAAGGCTCATTATCTTCATCTTTCTTTTATCTCGTTACTTTACACATGTGTCATGTGCATCTATGTCGTTTCATCAATTTTATTTTGAATTTATTATGTATGGAATTTTTTTTGTATGTCGTTTCATCAGTTTTGCTTTGAGTTTATTTTATTGATATTTTTCCGAGTATATGTTTTATTCTCATTCTTACTCAACATTTGTAATGTGCGCAGATGTTCGAATAATTGTCTCAATTATTACAGAGTATTTACAACTAGAGACGTTTTAAAACTATAGATATAGACTTAATTGCATAATAGAACTTGCGAAAAGAAATAAAGTCTTAATGAACATAGACAAGATAAATAAAGTAAACGTTTTTAGAGATCTGTTTTTTTTATTTGCCAATGATTCTTTACATGTACAAAGAATCATTGAATCAATATAAAAAACGGATCTCTTTGCACGATACTGTAGAGATTGACTGATTTGAATAATCAAATAATAAATATCCCAAAGTCAATTTAGGAGTGATTCTGTGGAATTATTATGGATTAATTTTGTTTATATTTACATTGTAGCACTTCGATAAACGTGAATTCATCATTTTTATTATTTTATTCTTCATGCTTGTTAATTTAAACTAGCGTTGCACATATTTATTTTAATTTTACAATAGCAGATATCCATTTTATACATGGACCTGTAAATAATAAGGCGAGATCGGCAACTTGAATGAATATTATTGAAGGCTATGAAAAATTTCAAGAATCTTTGAATGCATGCATTTATTTATGCAAGAGAAATTATACTAAAGCTTTTATTGAAATGAGCAATTAATACAATTTGAATACTCGTTAATAACATATCTATTCCAAGGTCATCTATCACTTATTGAATTTTCGAAATATTGGTTAATCTGTGATAATTGTTGTTAAAGAACTATCGATTTAAATTAATTAAAAAAAAGTGAATACCTTTAAAAAAGTTAGTTTCTATTAGTTTACAAATTTATATTTATGAAAATTCTTTTGTAAATTTTGTTACACACAATAATTTTATGTTTGTATATATCTATAATTTTTCGTTTTAATTAATTTAATCAATTTAATTTTTCGTTTATTAATTTTAGTTTTCATATATCTATAATTTTTTCTGAAATAAACATTTTTTGTTATATATATACGCGTACACATATATTCAGAAACAGGTCCAATGATAAAGTGGTTATTAATAATTCGTTCTTTCATATTTGTTAAATATTTTAATTTTTAATATGAAGCTTATTTCCATGCTGTGACGATAATTATAATTGTAAAATGTTAAAAGTGAAATAAAGTCAAAATATCAAAAAAAGAAAATTTCAAAAGATTCATAATCGTATAAATGTGTTTTAAAATTAATTATGAAATTCATTTTCTCGAAGCAAAAATCAATTTCATAATTAATTTAAAAAATACACACATGCACATCTGTAGATCTTCTTGAACCTTCTTTTTCCAACATTTTGACTTTATTTTGTTTTAAGCATAGAAAAGTTCAAAAAAATGCAAGAAATTAAAGAATGAGCGCTAATCTTCATTGCTTCTGTACATTATCATCCTGTCTTGCAATCTCGTTCAATTCATATATAGCTTTTTCTTTCATAAAATTAAATACATAATTGCGATATAATTAAGCAAATATTCACGCAAAAGTGTAATTTTAAAGGAATGATTATGAAAGAATTATTGTATCAGAGCATAAATTATAGATTGCATTATTTTGCGCATTTGGATACATGCGTTTTTTTAGCTAATTTTTTTATATACACGTGAAGTTTTGCTGAATTATATTTCTCTTATATGTTCAATTTTATATACATATTTTATATACATTTTTGTAAAATTATTTAAAGAAATATGTTAATGATGACCTTAGAATCAATTTGGTAACTAACGATGGACTATAATAAACAGAGAGTTTGCTTATCCTCTGGCATGGAAATAGGTAAGTAGTGTAGATTTGTTTTTCTGTCGTATCATCACTCGTAATAAAATGGGACAAACAGAGGAGCACATCTTTGTCACGGTTTTATTTCCATAAAATCTATATCAAATACCATAGCTTGGATTATCTCTTTCACACTATAAGCTTTTATTTTAATTCGATATCTTATTAGAAATTAAAATTTCTATATATCCTAATACATGGCTAATTTAATAATCGCGTTGTTCAGGACGTTATCCTTGTGAAAGAAGGCTCACTGGGCTTCAGCATCATAGGAGGAACCGATCACTCGTGTACGCCATTTGGTACAAAAGAACCAGGGATTTTTATATCTCATGTAAGTTTCTTACTCTTACGTTCTTTTCAACCATATCTATTTATTTTTTATACACATCTTATATTTTATAAATTTATTATATATATGTATAATTTTTTATATGTATCTATATTTATGTAAATTTATTTATTAGGTTGTTCCTGGCGGCATAGCTGCCAAGTCGGGTAAACTGAGGATGGGTGATAGGATATTAAAGGTGAATGGTACGGATGTGACAAAGGCCACGCATCAGGAAGCGGTGATGGAACTTTTAAGACCCGGGGACCAGATTGTGCTCACTATCCAACATGATCCGCTTCCGGAAAATTATCAGGTAAATTGTAGCGAGTGCACTTTGCAGGTAAACACAATTATGCGCCATTATTTATTTTTTTTTTTTCAAATAGCTGTTTAGATTAGCGATGCTTATAGAGCTGTACAAGTAAATCTACGGATTAAGTATATAACTTTATGCACAGTTACATATCACAAAATTACATTGGGCGTTCTCTTTCACTTTTAACAAATTGACTGAATGCAACACGTGATTAGTGAAATGCGTGTGACTTCTTACAATCTCTAGATTGTTAATCACAGTTATTTTATAAATTAGATACGCACCTTTAAAGAGATTGTTTCTTAAGGAAAGAATCACACTCTCTGTGTATATCTTTTTATGCTTACAATTAGAATTATACACAGGCACTCTATTTCATAAATGAATAGCTTTTTTGAAAACGTTTTTTTCCCACGTTTTATTAACACCTCGGAGGAATGCTTGTTAGGCGCAAACAACGGCATTCGCGATGCTTTATTTCCTCACCTAATGCAACTTTTCTTTATAATTTGCCCCACAAGCTGGTCGAAATAGAGTACATCCCTGTGACAGTAAGTACTCGATGCGTTTGACCCATATAACTTTATGTCCTCATTTATATGCTTAGTCTCACACGAAAAGGCTGCACACGAAATCTCACTACTTATGTATGACTCGCTTTTGCTTATGCTATTATTTACACAGAAATTTATTTTATATTGAGTGCTTTTTTGTGCTTTGCATCATGTAATTATACTCAACATATGGTATCAGAGTAAAATGGTTTTTACTCTACAAAAATTTAATCAATTTGTTCTTGCACTTTTTCAAACATCAACATCTTCATTCTTTACTTTAATTTTTTAATTTTTAATATTAAAAATTTCTCTACATTTCGTCCATTTAAATATCACTAAAGTGCATAAATAAATATTAATCATAATTACAATTTACCATATCAATAATACATTCTGAAATAATTATTTATAATTAAATAAAATCAAAATAGTTTATAGTTCTGTAATCATATCTTTTATTTTTATATAATTATTTGAAATAAAGAGAAATAATATAATCCGGTTTATAGAGTGGATCGATATAATCTGTTCTAGGAACTAGTGATAACGAAGGAAGCAGGTGAAAAGCTTGGTATGCACATTAAGGGAGGTCGAAGAGGACAGAAGGGCAATCCTCTCGATCACACCGACGAAGGCGTTTTTATATCAAAAATTAATTCAGGCGGTGCAGCCAAGAGAGACGGACGATTGAAGGTAAGTACATACTTACCTTCTTATATATTTATTCTGTTATTTTTTATCTAACTTTAATATTCGATTTATACTGAAGCCCTACTTGTATTTTACGATAGGTTGGAATGAGGTTACTGGAAGTCAATGGCACATCGTTATTAGGTGCGACTCATCAAGAAGCTGTAAACATCCTTCGGTGTTCAGGGAATACGATCACATTGGTTGTGTGTAAGGGTTATGACAAAAGTGACATGGAACCGATATTAACATTATCATCTGACAATGGAGGTTCTAAGGAAGCTAAAGTGTCTAACGAATCGAGGGATCCACCCGCGGACGGTACTAAATCGTTGTCGCAAAGTGTATCCAGTTTAGATCGAGACGATGAGGAAGCTGCGATTCTTAGGCAAGAGCAAGAAATGAAAGCTGAACTCGTCGCTTGGGAACAAGAGGAACGAGAGCGAGCGCTTGTAGAACAGAGAGAAAAATCTACACCCGAAAAAGTAGGACGATACATTCTTAGCAACGAGTTCTTATAATTTTTGAATAAAAAAAAATTTCGGAATATTTTTCATTTAGCTAATTTAAATATATAGTAAAAGCTATATATATATATATATATATGTATTGCACATAAAAAATTATTGATTTTTTTGTAATCTTTGAGATAGAAGGAGTATATAATTTTCAAATTCCAAATATTTTTCGAAAATAAATTTAATTAGTATATGATAATATTTTTCGAAAATATTTTTCGAAAATAAATTTAATTAGTATATAATAATTCAATTTCTCTATTTGCACTTTCCGATTTTCACAGGTAATGGATGTTGTACGAGCAGCAGAATCATTAGTAAGCAAATCGAATAGCCCTGTCGACATGGTACCACCAAAATCACCCGGAGGTACCAAAGATCTCAAAACCACGACGATTGTTATGAGTAAACACACACTAGCACCTCAGAATCCTAATAATGTAAGTAATATAATGCATTTAATATATAATTTGTATTTCTCTTTTATTATTCGTTATGTATTTTATATTTTTCAAATTTTAACATATAAATTTGAAAATATATGCATGTGTAGAGTATAACATCTCATATGTCATCTCTATATGTAGAATATAACAAAATATTTCAAAATTGTTACTATCTCTGAATCCTCTGATCAATTTAAGCTCGATGCTTCCTCAACGAAGAAGAATTTGTTTTGATAACTTGCGTTTTTACTATTTTATTATTTGGAGGGAAAATATATCTTAATTTAATAGAGGAGAGAATTATTATATCATCCTGTTTGCATATGAACTAGAAATATTTGTAATAATATTTAATTTCATAAAATGTTGCATACTCTATATTTTGATTTTTTAATAACCTGTTAATATTTAATAATATTTAGTAATACCATGCATTTTTACATCGACATTGTCCTCTTTTTATTTGCTTAGCATGGCTTTTTTCACAGCATGAATTATATATTTTGTATTTTTCCTTTTTGCTTTATCCAATATTGTTAAAATCTACAAAAGAAAATATAAATATACGATACATTTATTCGTCATTAGATTAAAATTTTAAAAGTTCCTTAGAAAGAGAGGGAGCATAAATTAATGTGTAAAATTTGTACTGCTATAAAGTGATTATCTGCCAAGTCAAGAGTTTTGATCTGGAGATAAATCAACTGTCAACTGATTTTTTTTATATAAATAATCCGAAATAATCCGATTAATTAGTTAATCACTATGCAAGACACACATTTATATAACTATACAATACAATTATGTATATGTGAAATGTGAAAATACAGAAAGAGAAAAAGCAAGAGAGAAAGAGATAATTTTCTAATATTTAAAGTAGTTATTTTAATAATTCTTCTGGATAATTTTTTTTAAATTATCTAAATTATTTCCTTTTAAGGAACGCTGTTGTCCTTACGAAAAGTAATCTCAATTCTTCTGTTGAAATAGTACATCCACATAAATGTGTCCACTCTAGTTAGATGTTTCAATATTTCCAATTAAAAAACATTAAATTGAATTATCTTCGCTCTTTTATCAAAATTGATATAATTTCTTCAAGTTAGATCTGTTATTAACAGAGTTATCTGCATTTTTATATTTACATTTATTTTCGCATTAAGAAATCAAGCAATTTCATGGAATTTATTCGTCTTCATACGTGATCATTAGGTGAAACATTTAAATGGCGCATGAAATGTACAGTTGTCTCGGTGTCTTTAGCTGTCATCGCATGCTCATCTGAGCGCCAAAAAGAGAGAGATATTTCACATGTTTACAGACAGTGGAAGATGATAGTGCTACTTTGGCTGCCCTCTAACAGGAGTGAGTCGTTCGTCTTTCTACTCATTTTCCCCGTGTGTCTGCGTCCATGCCTCCGATTCCGCAGGATTGCGTGTCGTAACAAAAAAAAAAGAAAAAAATTCTCTAAGAGTTTAATCATTAAAAGAGTGGCATATATATGACATCCACGATGGTTTATCATTGCGTTTTTCTATATGTCCGCCAAATATTATATGGCACTTGTTACTCCATTTGTTACTGATACTGCCATTAACGACATTAAGTATCGAGAAATACGCTGACAGTTGGGTTGAATGTCTGTAATTAGTTTTTTGCTTCGACAAAACATAGCAGGACAGGAATTTCGAATCATGACACATAATTGTGATATCTCGCCCTATTAGAAATTGTCATCGCTACATCTATACATACGCATATACACAATACATACACGCAATACGGATATAGAAATATATATGTGTGTATTATACGTATTATATATATAAATTATATATATAATATTATATATATATATATGTAATATAATGTTATATAATATTAATATTTAAGCTATATTAATATTACATAGCATTAATGTATATTATTAAAGTTATATAATTTTATATATAATTTATAGTATTATATATAATATCTATATTATATAATATATATATAATTCTCTCATTCGCGATTATATAAATGTCGGATAACAAGGGAAAATATTTCTGTGATAGATAAAGACGCAAGTTGTAGTGTAAAGAATTTCTCTTAAGTATATATATATATATATATATATATATATATATATATATATATTATATATATACTTGACGGAATCTTTTTAGCAAGATTTGTATATTAATCTTTAGACTTGTTTGCGTATGTGAATTTAGTAATATGTGCGATACATGTTGTAAAATATGATCGCTGCAGTTAATCTCGATTAATCGTGATTCTTTTCAGCTATCGAATGAATGATTATTATAAAGATGGAAGGTGATTTGTGATATACGAGTTGACAATTTTTTGACACAGCAAAGGTCTGCTTGTGTACAAGTTTCTAAAAATCTTTGTTAGTCTATTATATAATCGTAAATGAACATATTTTGATCATTCAAATAAGATTGAATTACGTATTTTTAAGCGTTACATATCATATTTATGTTCTCTTAATTAAATATGTAATGGAATACTGAGGGAAAATAGTTACATTTTATTTAAAGTTTATCGTCATTTCATCGCAAGAGAGAGATATTATGAATGTTCTAGTTAAAGCACAAGAAGTATTGTTCCGTACTCACATTTTATCAAATGATTTGAAAGAGCATACAATATTTTCTACATGAGATTCTATTAATAATGTCGTATTTGTAAAAAAAAAAAAAAATAATATTCCGACTATTTTATAACCAGACATAAGTGATACTCTTCACGATACGTCTATAAAAAAAAGTTGTCGGTAATTGTTTTATACCTCGCTGTTATATATATATATATATATATATATATATATATATATATATAAAATATCTGAGCGGATATTAAATTGATTCAAGCAATGCGTTGTATTATATCGCGTTAAAAAAGAGGATTAGAATAAAATTCCAAAAATAGAATTTATATAGATATAAAATATATACATATATATATTTCCTGGTTGAGACTTTTATATATATATATATATATATATATATATATATATATATATATTATCTACATAGTATTGTTAATTTTATAGAAACGCGTAACCTGTGTCTTGTTACTTATGTTTGCACACAATTTCATTGATAACGTTGTTCAGCAAAGAAATAATTTTTTTTCCAACAGGAGAAAGAAAATAATAATTCTCTGAGTATTTAAATATTATTTCAGCCTTTGAATTGCTTTATCACGTCACAATTTCGAGAAATTTGCGATTAACGTTACAAAAAAGAATTATTTCAATGAACTTTCGTGTTGCAACTGACGTATTAGAGAAATTTTATTACAATCAAAATTAAGTATGTTATTAAAATTTCTAAAAAAAGTTGTGTTGATAATGGTTAATAAAATATTCATAAATCTATTGTGAGTTGCAAATTAAGCTATTGAGGATGTATCACATATTGTTCAATATTTATTCAAGTTTAAAATCGATAGAAAATCTGAGTTTTCATAAATTTGGGATTTGCTATATTAATTTTGTTAATTTAAAAAAATTGTCAATTTTGACATCGCATATTCGTATTTAACAATCTAGAAAACTTTGGCTACATATATTAAAAAATACTTGACTCCTAATTAATACTTTGCCCTAATGAATGTTTAATTTCGTTAATTCTAATCACAAATGAATATTTAATTCTCAACACTTAATTTCATTAATCGTAATCACAAATCCTTTTGAGAAAATAAAAGTTTCAAAATCCCAACAATATACTTAATATTAATTGAAACAAAACTTGTCCAACACATCATATTTATTATGTTTAATAATTTCAACGTTTAATAATTAAAACGCATTAAATTAGCAAATTTATGAAAAGTGTGATGTGATGATATAATTATGAGGCTTGAATCGTATTTAACGTGAAAATAATTATTTTCTTTCTTATGTTTTATTAAATTATGTAATTATTTATTCATAATTACTAGTATTTAAAGCAAGTGTTATATATGGCATTTCACACTTTTTTTCATCAAAAAATTTTTATCAGCACTGTATTTTTCGACACATTATCCTTTTTAATCTATTCAAAAAATTTTGATGCCCTGATAATCAAATCTTCTTTAATTTGAATAAAAAAATGTCCTTTAATTTGATTTTTAACACATAATGTTGGAACGTTTTTTACAGGCCTTATTTTTTCCTAATTTTTGAATATCTTAATTTTTTTAACAAGAACTTCTTTAAATCTTATCTTTAAGCGATTTTTATTTTAATTCCCGATATTGAGTTATTTATTTCAGAAATAAATATCTCTTAATTGCATGGTTTTCGAATTGTTTATTTATGTTATTTATAAATTTTAAATTCGTCAGAAACACAATTTTTTTATTCGAACTTATTTACAATTAATAATCACGATTATAATTTCTAATCAGTCAGCAATCAATTACATTTATAATTTGATTAATCAATATATATTGATTATATTAAAAGTTTATAATTTTTAAGATTGTTTAGAAAAAATTGACAAAGGAATTAAAATGTTACATCACTAATTACTACCGTTCTTATAGGAGACAAGAAAAAATAAACATGCATGAATTTATTTTATAAAACGCTGTTACCATTTCTGCATTATCTTGCAAGAAGAATAAAAATAATATTTCGATCTGTTAAGAGTTACAAGGCGTGTTGTGAGCGTATCTTAAAAATATATTGGTCTTTGTTTCTCTATTAATGCAGTTTTAATACTTGGTACATTCAATACTGCAATTGAATCATATCATTATTGAAATTCGAATGAATGTATCTATATATTTTCTATGACCATTATATGTTTGCATAACTCTAATGGACCAGATGTTTATATATTACTACACAGAATTATTGGATAAGCCATATAATAATATGATATTTACTTAAGTATCTGAAAGAGATGTTAATGTTAAAGTTCCAGTTAATCGGCATAGGAGTGAAATTCTTGAACGTTTTTAAGATAATCTGCCTATGCGCACAGAGGTTTTCTGAAAGTGGTTAATAGTTATCCCTGTTGTGAGATGTATATTAAGATGAAGATACTTTTTCATAATCGTTTAGATAAGAGAAGATATAATTGCAGGATATATTATTTTATTGTATTCACACACATAAAAACACACGTAGTCTCATTTAAAAATCAATTTACTATATTGTTTCGTAAAATATCCTACAGTAGAGGAGACTGTTCCCCGTGAACAATAATTTTCGTGGAATCGAATCTTTCTCGTTTCCCTTTTTAAATCCAATGCAAACTTTAAATTAAAAGCAAACTAACGAAACAAAATAATCCTGTACAAGCTTATTTCGAACGAGATTATATTTATGTGCGCAATAATTCTTACTCGCTAGTTATTGTCGTAGTTTTTTTGCAAAGGCTTTTTCTGAAGTGTTTATGTTTCTGACTACAAATGCCTTTCCTTATTTAGATTCGATTAAATTAATTTAGATTAAATCTTGATCAAGATGTACAGTAATAAAATATATAAATAAACACATTCGAAATTTTCTTATAAAAATAAATGTTATTTTTTTTTATTGAGAAATATACAAGAAATATTTACAAGAAATAAAAAATGAAATATACAGGATGTCTATTCCATGAAAAATCTGGATTTCTCAGGAATTTGTTCGTATTATATCTAGAAAAATTAGAGAATTTGAGACTCGAGTAATTTTTTCAAAAATTCTCTTTCATAATTTTCTTATATTATAAATAGAGTCAAGCTAATTAAATTATATGTTTAAAATATATTAAAAATATATATCTATCTTTGTGTGCATGCAATAAAAAAAATTTTTTAAATGTTTTAGAAATTTGTATCAAAAAATCTTTAAAATATTCTCTTTACCTGGAATTTTGAATGAAAATACCTAAAAGATAAAAAAAGTTTCAGAATCTTTTTATAAAATTTAAACATCCTGGACATCCTGGACACATTCGTACTGAATTATTCTACAGGGTAATATACAGTCCAGGATAGAATAGCAAACACATGAGATTTACTCCAAAAAAAAGAAAAAAATCCTTACTTAAGTGTCCCTTAAGGGATATTATCGTGATGCACGCACAGTCTCCACTACTACATCGATACACGATGGATAGGGTACAAATAATATAGAATAGCTTTATATAAAATGAGCGAACGCGTGTGTTTAACATGTACCGATGATTACACATATGTTTACACAGATTAAATTATGCGCAACTTGTTGCATGATTTACTGCAATAATAGTACAATTGAGAGATGCTATCGAACGATCGTAAAGGGAACTGATCGGACAAAAATTCTTCTTTAAATCCTAACGTATAGATTTTGTATGACATGTAGCACTCGGCGGAAATAAATCTGTTTTAAAGTACGATTATCAAACTTTATATGAACGGATAGTTAATATTCAGTTATCCAATTAGCGGCATATTATTGTTTCAACGTTTATTAATCGTTCTTTTATTCAATCTATCTCGTTATTTTTAAATATTACGAAATATAGTGTGTCATCACTATATTGAACATCAATAACGCATTCATTGAAATTTGTTAAAAAATTATTTTTATAAATTATATGCAATATGTAGCTTTATAAATTTCATATATATTTATATATGTATGTATGTATAAAATAATGTGATGACACACACTTCGTACATATATAGGATAAAACGAAGTAATACGTTCCATATTTGCTTAAAATAATATAAAATATATTTAAGATCGAAGAATTTTATTGATGGTTGATATTTACAAAAATTTATTAATTAATTACAATTAATAATTGCAATTTTTGCTAATTTTTGATTAATTGAAATATTCTAATTATGAAATAAACTTTTAGAAAATATTAAAAGAGACGTTTCTTTGAATTTTGCTAAAAAATACCTTGAATAATTATAATCAACAAAAATAATTTTTTTAAATTATAAAATTCGATGAAAAATTCATATTTAAGCTCAATAAAAATATTAATTGGAATTTATAAGAATTACATTTTTTTCTCAATTTCTTTCAAAAATTATTGGCACTTATTTATAGTGTCTTGATTGCTTTTAGCAAAAAGTTTTTAGTGAAAATCAAGACACTATAAATAAGTGCCAATAATTTTTGAAAGAAATTGAGAAAAAAATGCAATTCTTATAAATACTTCTTATAAATACTTCTTCCCTCCATTCTGTCATTATAGTTTTTCTTTTATACGTTTTGCCCGACTGTCAAAAAAAAAAATAAAAAATAAATCTAGGATTATAACGTGGAGTATTTTTAAAGAAAATTGTATCTTCATAAATACATGTCAAATGGAAAAAATATTTATATACAAAATATTTATATCACTGGTTATATTTTATAAATTATATCTTTTAGAAAAATATAGCGAGAATATATATAAACATAATGACAGTTACTTTTATGGAATGCAAAAATAATTAAAAATCTGATTAACAAATTTGACATTTTTTTTTAATTATTGAGATTTTATAATTTTTTTTTTGAAATGTAAAAATTTCAAAAAATTATAAAATCTCAATGATTTCTGTTTCAATAATGTTTATTGGTAAATTCATTATTTTTGAACAGCTATTCTCCTACTGGGACGTATTACACTGTTTTTACCTTATATATATTTTTCACATCACGATTTATATCAAATAAGCTTCGCATGTACTTAATTATTCAATCTTATGATGAGTTACTCTTACGATTATTTATTTCCCACTTTGCATCGCGTGTATCCGCACGTATTAATTAATAATTAATGATTAATACAGAGTTTTCCGTATTATTTATCCAGTCAAGAACGAATGAGATCTCTGGAATGTCAACGGACTCTCCGTCTTCGTCGAAATCAGCCACCCTTCCTAAGGCAGCCAGTTTCGAACGCTCTACTTCTATGCACACTTTACCCTCTCCGACGAAAAAAAAATCACTGTCTAAACGTAGCATCACGTTTGCCGATCTGCCGCCGATCTCAAAAAAGAGCTCGAATCTTAAGCCATCCCATGTCAAACCCACGTTGTCCGCAATCAACGTTGTCGAGCATCCAGTTCGGCATCCTACGTCCACCCTTTCTCCGCGAACCATCACATCCTACGAAACACCCCATGTACAGCACGCACGTTTCCGGCTTCCCCCGACACCTCTAACCGCCCCCGAATGCTGGGGAGATCTTGACACCTCGGCTTCTCTTAGCAAGCGACAGATAGCACGTTCTGTTGATGGGAATTTTCAGGTTGAGGTGGGTTTCTCAGAAGCATGTCTAACACTTTAATTTAACGTATTAACGTCTTCCTGATATTTTAAGATTAAAAAGATGCGAAATGTTATGATTTTTTTGTTTTTGAGCCAAGCTTTCCCCAAATTTGTATCATAGTGATCAATTTGTTGAAATTACACGATGTGCATATCACTTTAAGCGAATACTTTGCGAGGGATGTGTTTTCATAGACTTAAAATAAAAAAGAAACAATTTTATCTGAAAAAAATGTGAACTGAGAAATACACGTACAAAATCGCTGCAACTTAAAAAAATTAATTTTATTAAATTCGAAGACGTCGTAAAATTCGAGCTTTTCTGTTTTACTTATATTTTATATACATTAAATTTTAATAAATTCAAATTGTGTAATTTTACTAAATTTAATAGATTATTTATATTTTTACATATTATTTATCTATGTAAAAAAGGGATATAATATATGCTTTCGTGTATATTTCAACTTATTATTATCTGTAACACAATTACATGTTCTTTATAAAAGTTGCTTGAGCCAATAGTTATTTATATATAAATATTATAAATACAGCAATCTCCAACTTCTTCTCCGACGCCACCATTGACAAAAATGTCAGTCAGCGATAAAAAGAAGCTCTTTGAAAGTGCCATGGAAGAACACTTGAAACCATCACCTAAACCAGGTGAGAATATTTGCGTGTTTCTTGCGCGCGAGTATATTGTGTATATTTTATGTATTACATAATTTATATTTGTAAAATATATATTAGTTTTAATTAATATACATGCACATAAATAAACACATGCAAACATACACACACACATACATATAAATAATTATATATATTTATATATATACATATGTTACAGATAAAATATTCAGTTTTTTAAGTCAGGACGAGGTAGAAAAAATGAGACAAGAAGAAGGTAAGAATTTAGGGTATTATGATTTTTTACGTTACACAATTTGTCTTAATTGAAATTAACGATATTATATTTACATTTTTATAGAGAAAAAGATTGCAACTTTAACGCGAGACGAATTGAAATCATGGGCACAACTTGATGAAAATGAAGGCCTCGAAGATCTGGATCTCACGACGGACGATCAGAATAATGGACGACCTAAGTAAGCTTTAACTATCACGTTTAAATTATTTCGTATTTTGAAAATAATACAACTTTTGCCTGTGTATGGGAGCGTTTATGACGGTTAATTTTCAAGTAATTATCGAGTTTTCGAAATGCTGAATTTAGTACACGAGTATTATAAGGGAATAAGACAAGGAACGATTCAGTTATTTGCATAAATAAAACGTAATATAATAATATGCAAGCAGCTTTTAAAATAAAGAAAAAATTTATTGTTATGTTAGTATATTATATTTATATTGACTATATATGTTGACTGAGATTTATACACTTTATATAAAGAAGATTTTTATATAGAAAAATAATGTTTTTGAATATAAGTACAATACATTTAGTAATTAGTATTTTTTTAGCGCAATGTGTTCCGTTTCTAACTCTACAATATAATTTGCGATTATGCGCGCATGTCTTCACAGTACTGGATATTTGTATGCTTTCGTTATCGTTTGAGTACCAATAAGCATCATTTCTTGTTCAAAATTTGAATTTATTTGTTTTATATTTATATTTCGTATTTGAATTTAATATTTGAATACTTTAACAATTGCATTATTGTTTAATATTATGCAGTATTGCTATATTGAATTAATATATACATATTTGCTATATTAAATAAATATTATTTATTTTTCAATATCGCAATACAACTTCCGAAAGTTGCGCATAAATCGTGGACAATCATTCCATGATGCATGACAGGATGTCTACTTTCAATTAAACATGTGGAAAACCTGAATTTTTTCTATATCTGAAAAAATCAGGGAGTCTCATGGAATTTTATTGGGATTCTTTTATTAGAAATTTGTTAAAAGAATTCTCTCTTTAATCATTTTACTTTTTTTTTCAGTACATTTTCAAATTTAGTATTTGAAATTTAAGTGACTGTGTTTTTCCTTGAGTGAAAAATACAATAAAAAATTTTATTTTAGAAAACTGCATTAAAAATCTTTGAAATATTCTATTTATCTGGAATTTTGACAAAAATATCCGAAAGATGAGGGAATTTTTTTTTACAAGATTTAAGTAGACACTCTATACGATAGTTGGTTTTTAGAGATTTTTATCAGATTATTAGAATCTGATAGCCTTCGTGATATTGCAAATGTACTAATTCGATGATTAGTGAGATTTTCGAATCGTTTTCTGAAGCGATGCAAATCTGGAATTATCTCGCTAAAAAGACTTGTCCTCAAATCTTACAAAAATCCGATATGTGATCGCTATATAATTATGTTTTGCATGCCATGCAAACATGCAATATTTATACTTAATTATACACATATGTTTATTTTCACTTTACTTTTTGATAAATTTTGAATTTGCTTTTATGCTCTTATTTGTTGTATATATCGTGTCAATATTATGTCTAAATATTTTGATTTTGATAAATCTCTTTCTCTCTCTCAGTTTTATTATGTAAAACAAAGAAAATATGTTTTTATGCACAATTTTGGTGATAAATTCGATAATAAATATATGAAATGATATGCTGATAATAATGTAATTTTTCTTTTTAGATTCTTATTAGAATTTTGAAATATTTCTTTTTATTTTTCTAGAATATTAATTGTAATAGAGGTATTTTTTATACCTAAAAGGTTTATAATTGATGGCGACAAAAGCATTATATTGCTTATTAATATGCGGAAATAATATTCAAATATGAAAAAAATCTCATTATATCTCAATAATCATAATCTCATTCACGTAAAAAATGCATTTTCACATACGCTTACATTGCAAGCAAGGTGTCTGCTCCTTGAAAAAACATGGAAAATCTGAAGTTTTGAGGAATTTCTTTCATACCTGGAGAAATCAATTTTCATGAAATTTTTATGAAACTTGGAGAATTTTTAAAAAAATTCTCTTTGATAATTTTGCTTTCTTTCTCTTTGATAATTATATTACAGACAATCGGCAATCCTTGCGGATTGCCGATTGTCTGTAATATAGTTGCCAGTAAGTCAAGTTGTAAATTGTGCTTAAAATATATTAAAAATATATGCAATACATATTCTTTATTTTAATACTTAATGATAAAAGAATAAAAATGTTACGTAAATGAAAAATTATTTTATCTTACGAAAGCTATTTAGTTTTTTTTTCGATACATTGGCATGTAGCACTTGAAACTGATGTAACTTTGTGTTTTTCATTTGTATGAATAAAGAGCATTAAAAACTTATATGATAAAAAAATCTTACTTTAAAAAGTTGTACCAAAAGAATCTTCAAAATATTCTCTTTATAGGAAATTTTGAATAAAGAGAATTACGGATAAGAGAATTTTTTTATAAGATTTGAGTAGACACCCTGGTGAACTTCCATCAACAATGTGAATGATCCGACTAGTACTAATTATAATGTGTTGCCTCTGTATTTTTTTTTCGAATAAACACGATATTTGTAACATATGTATGTACATCATTCGTCAGTATGCATGCTCGTTACCTTCCAGTAGCCGACTGAGCTCGCGAACTTCGATCCCTCTTATCCAGAATGTTCCCAGCAGCGTGAGGACAGCAAAAGCGGAACGTCGTTTGAAAGAACGATTAATTCAAGAGGTATTATATCTCCCACGATTAACACTTATCTATTTAACTATTATCTTGATAAAAAAATACATATATTCATAGCTTATTAGTTTTTTATCAAAATGTTTTGATTAAAATTATGAAAAAAAAAATATTAATATATTTGAGAAGAGACTTTTGAGAGAGAGACTCTCAGAGCACTCTTGACCTACTGGATCAGACAAATTATTATAATCATTCTATTCGCAAAATATCTGTTATATTCGAAAATTTTTTTTTCTCCACCAGGGCCTTATCTCGGACGAGGACGAGGAACATCTTCTGAGCCCCGCAGAACAACGAGCGCTTAGAGCTGAGAAACGTGCCGCTTGGCGACAAGCTCGCCTTAAATCTCTCGAGCAGGTAAAATTGGAAGTCCAATTTAATGTCAAAATGGAACACTTTATTGTTAAATATCTGTACAATTCTTTTTCTATTTATAGGATGCGCTCCAGGCACAGATGGTGATAAAAAAAATGAGTGAAATAATGGACTCTAATAAAAGCGAAGATACACGCGATGCGACTGATATAATTGATCCTGCTTCCGATCAAGAGAAGACTGTCGAAGTAAGCATCTTAGAAAGAGTATTCCTTCACTCTCCCTTGCAAGAAGGAATTAACTTTTTTGATAATCTAACATATATGTAACAAACAAGCTTGAAATCGTTTCAAAGTTGTGTGTGTTTAACTCCCGATCGCGTACACTAATCGCTATCCTTGCTCGCCTTTAATTAACCCAGCGTTCATCAGAAAGAGAAGATTCATTGTTATTACAACGGTTCCCATTTGTCTGTCTTTTCCCATCTTAGTTCGCTACATTACGGCCTTCTAGCGCGGATTTTCCTAAACTCGCCGTGCGCAGTAAAGTGGGTCCCCCTAAAGAGATACGCGAATCTGAGAAAGTCGTGGACGAGAAGGTCACTCGGCGTACCGAGGAATATCTAGACGAGGTGACGGGTGAACGTCGTGTACGAACTGTCGAGTACGTCGAGAAGCTCATTGAGCGTCAGGTATTGCATACCTTCTAAAGACTTCGCATCAGCGATCAAAGTATCACATACACGTATTTCGATGGAGGAAGAAGAAAGGGATAGAGAGAAAGCACGATTATAGATCATCACTATTTCTAAAGTGCACCGCATTTACTCGAAAATACGTACTCCTTGTTTCTTTTTGTTTTTTTTCATCTTTTTTATGGTGCAAAAATATGGGTCTCATTCTATGCCAGATCGCACACATCTTGGGAGGCTTGTTGCAAGCTTATGATACATTATTAACTCTTTATCTTATTATCCGGATTCATTGAAAATTGTTGTCGATTTAACACAGAATATGGAATCGTTGGTCGCAATGTTAGAAAGCAACGAGCGATTAAGTTCAGTAGGCTTCATAGAAAGACATACATTTTGATAGAAATGTTAAGAAGTTTTTTTTCTTTTGTTTTACGCTTTCATGCATCCATACAAACGTCATGTTTGTTATTTGTTGAATCATTATTGTGTTTATTGTTTCAAGAGTCCATCGCTTACATCGATGGTACGTTACGCACCACCTTGAACTACGAATGTCACTTCTACTGATCTAACTAACAACCTTTACCTGAATTTTATTGGTAATTTGGTTTTTATATCTTATGCCTATATGTTTTAAGCTCATGGCTACACATCTGTATGTATCGTGTATGTACACAGATTAACACTACTCGCATGTCTTACACTCTAGATGTGCTTTTCGTAGCATGTAGAGACGCAACAAAATTATTAAAAATAAGGCAGCAACATAATTATTTAAAATAAGGCAGAAGAGCTAGGACGAATAATGTATTTTTTTTCATTAAAGTTTCTGAAGTTGAACTCTTGTTTTATAAACATTCCGGAGTAAAATAATATAAAATAAGTCAAAATCAATATAAATTTAAATGTATAAAAAATATAAATTACGTTATTTTTATATTTATTAAGAAATAAATGATGACTAAAAATTTAAAAAAAAGAAATTAAACATTTTTTATAATGAAATTTTAAAATAAGTATTTATATTTTTGCTAAAAATTAAAATTTACATTAAAACTAATTAAATATTATATATTATTATTAAGTTTTAATATGTGTATTGTAAAAAATTATTAATTTAATTATAATTAAATATATAAATATAATTATTAATTTATTATATATATTCTAGAATATGTACAACGAAACCTACGTTATTTAGCCTATGTATTCTTCTATTTTAATACATGCTTTTAGATATCGCAATTTTTAGATTGATGTTAAGGCTTGTAAAAGAACTTTATTCGCACTCTCTCAAATACACATATCCTTTATAAACGTCAAACACACAATATGAAAAATTAGATAAGATCACATTAATCACAATGTACACATTTTCAAAATTAGGTGGAGACTCTGAGGGAGAAGATTATATCTTTGGAATTAAGTAACGCGGAGGACGATGTGGAAAGTGCGAGCGATGCCGGCAGCGAGAGCGAAGACACTGCAATGGGACAAAATATCGCCGATAGTACCGCGGTGGGAAAACCAGATTCTCATGTCACAACCGACACGACTGAAGAAGTCCCCAGTGCTAAGACTGAGGCGAATGTCACCGTTGTTTCCACCAAGAAAAAGAAACGAAAGCGATCGAAGAAAGGTCGCCACTGACAAAAAATGTGCATTTTAATGAATAGGTATGGAACATTGATGTTAGATATAACTGAATAAAAATCTGCGAGATCTTTGTTAACTTTAATATTCGACTATCACACGCAAATTATATGTTTAAATATTACTCTACAATTAAATTAACATTTATACTACATAAATGAATTGTGTATGCATGTACGTGCACATATGTGTATATTTCGAAAAAACGAAATCGACCACTTATAAGTTTCCATTACATGGGTACATATTATTGCGATATATGTATCTGCGGACGTTTTATATCTTTCCTTTTTTCACAGATTAATATAATAAATTATACATATATAAACAAAAAAAAGAGTAGCCTGACTTTTTGCATCGACATATTCGGTGAAAAATATAGATATTTATACACAAAAGTTCATGATTGGTTTAGTAAGATCGTTTGTACAAATTTATAATTAGCATGTTTATTTATATGCGTATAGACGTAGTTTTACAAATCTAACAAGTATAATTACAAATTGGTTTATTTTAATGTGGAACAAAACTATTGCATTTCCATTATACATTATCGATATATTTTACAAATAATTTATACATATCTCACGTTCAGTATACTTAAAATTTTCAGTATACTTAAAATTTTGCTAATTTGAGATTCACGAGGTGTAAAGTTAAAAATAAAGTTTAAGGGAAAAAATGAAAGCTTGAAAAGATAAAAGATAATTAATATCCTAGTAATAAAAATAATATGGAAAATTCCATATTATTATTTCCTGGACCGTTCATATAATCTAATTTCATTTTAATATGTAAGATATGTCCAGAAATATGATTTTTTTCATTAGAAACACATGGTACTGTTAAAGCAAAAGACACAGGAAAGCTATTTTGTATTGATGACATAATCGAGCATAATTGCATTTTTATATGCATTCTGAAAATCATGCACTTCCGTTTTCTCTCATTCAACTCTCCTCGAGAATATTATATAATGATTTTTTCAAGAGATATACGAATGAGAGAGAGAAAAAGAGAGGAGAGAGAAAGAGAGAGAGAGATGTGATAAAATTATGCAATTATAATGTTATATACCATAAGGCTCTACTTTATATAATTACGTGCATTATAATATCTTATATAACGTGCATTCTCTTATCAATTATTTATATTCATTGCAATGTGCTAAAGAAAATTACGCGTATATTAAAATTATAATTTCTATATTTCAGAAATATCATGTAAAATAAATTATAATATTAAGATAATCTTATAGATTTTAAGTTGATCGAGAATCTGTCTTGCGTTTGTAAAATATTTTATTTATTTGACTTTAATATATGTTCTGAATGAAGATAAGAAGATATTCTGATCTGTAATATACGTTATATTGTAAAAAAAGGTAAATCATATCAAAAGTATTCAAAAGTAAAGTATCAAATCTCGATTTGTTTCATATAATGTGAATTATCAATGAGAAGTCACTAAAACATCAGGAGCAAATGTAGATTTTTTACAATTATAGTTTAGTGGTTTTAAGGTATAAATCAGAACAGATTTTGCATATATGTAATACACATATTTTTATTATTTTGGAAAGTATTTTCATTAGTATACATATTATATATACGAGACTATAAAGAATATAAGACACTATTGACATCACACTTTTCATATTTATATATAATTTGTCAACCACACAATATTTGTAATATTAATATTACTTTAGATTTAAGAGTATTATTTTATACCGAGTATTTACATTATTTTTTAATTATTAAAAAAAATTAAAATAAAATATGCGATTAAGATATATATTTATTCGATAGGTAATGCAAATGGATTTTTTCCAATAAATGTAAATAAGAACGAAATTAAATAAAATTGCGATTAGCCGCGGTTTAAAGTGCGATTAAAAACGAGGGACCAATAAATGAAATTAAGTGAGTTCATCATAACTTTGCTGTCCACAGCAGAGGCACTTGAAAGACATTATATTATCAATAAGATTTGGATGTTGGGGATAGAAATCTCTCAAAATTTTCTTTAATAAGTGCTAGTAAGCGTCAGATATGAGTGTAATTGAATGGAGAGAAAAAAATTAAAACTCCATTTCATTAATGTTTGATTGTCCTGTCACTTTAATCACTCAGCATCCAAACTTATTAATATCAATAACAATATATTATCAATGTATGAAAATATTTTAAAAGTGCCAATGTTAACTGTTTCACATAAGAATTATCTTGTTAAAATATCTATTATCTCATACAAAATGAGTTACATGCATTTCGTTTCTTATTTCGCTGCTTCTTTCCTTAACTTGGTTTTTGCATCAACGGCAAAAACTGTAAAACATTCAAGAAGCTTCGAATACTTAATCTGTATAGCTTATTTTTTTGACTTATTACAATCGTGTGAAATATGATTATTCTTATCTGTCAAAGTTCAAAAATATTAGGGATATTTTGGTATTGAAATATTTCTTTAAAGTATAAATATAATTTAGTATAAAAATTTTTAATTTTTATAAATAATTCGCCTCTTTAAATATTTATTTGGAGGTCTATATAAAAAAAATATATTGTTCTTTCATAGATGAAGGATTATACTTTGCTTATTTAGCTTCTTTATAATTATTGTTATGTATGTGATCTTGTAATTACATATGATTTGTATGTCTGTACTTTGCATGTCTATACTTTGTATTCATTTTCTGCATCACTGAAATTTTATAAATCTAAGTGCGGTAAGGAACAATAATGTATTTTTTAAGATTTTGCCAAGTTTTAGGTCAAAAAATAATAAGAATATTATATAAAAAATAAAATAATTTGTGTCTACCTGCAATAAATCATTATTAGTTTATTCACAAACGCAGGATGTACATTTATTAGAATTTCATAAAAACCTTTCATTCCTGTTTAATATAGCTACATTTTACACACGTTCTCGATGGAACTTTTTTTCTCTTATATCTGAATTTTTTTTTATTTTTTCGGTGCAATAATACCTTCCAACTGAGTCTGAAAATTACAATTTTCCTACATGACAATATTCGAGTAGTCTACAAAATAATAGTTAATAATAGGCTTGATATAAGTTCATAAATAACAAATAAAGATAATTTCTCAGTTGGGTTTAAAAATGAAACATACATTTTTTACTTCTATTCTCACCTTTAGTTGCATATTTGTTTTTTTAAGAAACTGCACTTCTTCCATGTGTTTCTTTTCTTCTGCTTCCCTTAATTCGGCCGACCTTTTCTCAGCCTGATCGAACTTGAGCCTTAATTCCGCAACCATTTTTTCCAATTCGATTTTTTGCAATCGTAATTCCTCGGCTGTATTAATCAAATTTTCCTTGCCTTGTTCGGCCTATATAAAAATATAATAAAATAAAGATAAAAATAAATCTTTTGTCAATTCATATCTACGTTGAATTTTACAGATTACATTCGCCATCAAAGCTCATCAAATATTGTAAATATAACAAAGATATATACTTGCAGTGCTTTACGTATTCCGAAAGCAATGCTGCTTTGATATAACGTTTGATACGCGGCCAATGTCATTTTAATCTCGTCTCTTACTCTCAATAAGAGTAATCCACGTTCGGCGCAATTTACAGTTACTTGCCTTATTAGCTCGTCTGAAACGTGATTATTAATACGTAGAGGATACATATTTAAGTATTTTATTTTACATGTAGAATGTGCTATATTATAATCAATAGAGTCAAATTTCCTCTATGATTTTAAGAAATCGTTGTCATATATTCATTTAGATAAAAATTATTTTGATTTAATTGTCAAATCTAAATTAGATTCGACGATTAAATCAAAATAATTTTTATCTAAATGAATATATTAACGATTTCTCAAAATCATTTTTATTTTTTTTCATCAATTCAGCTCATCATTTTGTCTTTAAAAATATTCAAATAAATTTAATTCAAAGATCCTTATGAAATATCTCATATTTTTATATTATATATCAAAATAAAAAAATTCTCACGAGAGATAAAAATTAAAGTAAAATCTCAAAAAAAAAAAAACATTTTTTGCTGATTTTATATTGTAATATTTTTGTAAAAGAATGCGTATATAAGAATTTATATATAAGAGAAATAATATGATTTTCCCCTATTTAAAAAATTAGAAATAATTTTGATATCACTTTGGTGCTTCTATTAAACTAAAGATTATTCATCAAATTTTCTCCTAAAACTATTATTTTCTATCAAAAGTAATACATAAAAAATCATGAAAAAAAATATTAGATTTAACTTAGTTTAGTTTTCCTAAGATATTGGATTCTGCTGATTAAAATTGGCCATTTTGTAAAATTAAACATATGTTTCTTGTATACCGAAACATTGCGTATAGAGTTGTCTGCGAACGGGACAAATGCCGGTTTCTCGAGCCTGTCTTTGTTGTAATCGCATGTCAAGTTGCTCTTGTAAATTTATCACATCCAATCTTGTCGCAGGAGTACTTGAAACCTAAATAACGTGTAGCTTACATATCTCTCATTGCTCTTATACATAATATATAGACTTTTCTCTTATATATAGACTCATAATATATAGAATTTTTAATTATATACTATCGTATATAATTAAAAATTTGATTTTTTTATATAAATTTAATTTTTTCTTCAATTTTTAATTTTTTACACGTTGCGTCCATATCTGGCCATCCTCTTCCCATTCCTTCGGCGGCAGGATTCTATTCAAAATTTCCATAGTTTCTCGTCGTGCATCAGCTGACGTTGAAGTCGTTTGAACTTTACAAACAGCGGCACCGATTTTCGGTAGCGATATATCTTTACGTACCTTTTATTACATAAAATATAACATATATAAATAAATATAAACATACAAATATAAATGAGAAATAAAAGATAAAAAAAAGAAATTATAATAAAAAAATTAATAATAAATTAATTATCAAAACATTATAATAAATAATTCTCTATTATTTTTTTATCTTTTATTATCATTTATTATATAGATATCTTTTATTCTATCTTTTATTATTATTTATTAAATTTTATATTTATTATAAAAGATAAAAAATAATAAAAGATTAGGATGAATAATCTTCTATTATTTTTATTGCAATAAATAATCATTTTTCGGGATCGCAATTCTTATGCAAAAATGGGAACATAATTCAATTACTATTTATACCACACCTTCTCTGGATGGGTCGTAATTAAAACTGGGGTATCGTATTTAACTAGTGTATCCATGGCAGGAATTGTGCGTTCTTTAATTGCCGTTGCCATTTTTTTTTAAATTTACGATTTGAATACGTATATAGAATATGTATTTTAATAGTAATTATAATTTAAATAGTAATTATATATGCATTGAACACTTTATACGAGTACTAACAATTCCAAGAGACTGAGGCACACGAAGATCCTTGTTTGTACAAAGGACGACGATTGAAGAAGCATCACCATGGATACACAACGATATATATCGCTTGATCGTTCTATTAGATATTTTGCGGAATGGTTTTATTAGCGTGTAAATATTCTAATTAAAATCGTAAATAAAGTATATATTTTATCTATCTACAAAGAGATATATAATACAAGATTGAAAGAAATGTCAATCGGAGAGACGTAAGCTCCTTTAGATAGATGCTATCTCCTTTATGCAGATTTGCCCAAAAAAATGGAACAAAAATGGAAATACATACATGTTACACACACACACACACACACACACACACACACACACACACACACACACACACGCGGTTTGTAAATAACATAACTTAATATTCGAGTTTATCATTTTTTTTTACATGAGATTTTTATATTACAATTTATATTCAATTTTAATATTTCTTTTATGTTTAATTGTAATATTTTTTCTAGAAAAATATTACAATTTATATTTATCTCTATCATTGGTCAAAAATGTTCTATATATAACATTTCATATGTGTGTGTGTGTGTGTGTGTGTGTGTGTGTGTATGCGCGCGTATCCGGAGGTACAAAAAAGTCCATATATGTATAATAAAGTATAAATATATGTAATTATATACACTATATATCAATGTTCTTCTTCTCTTATATACAGGAAAAATAACAAAAATAATTAAGAAATAATTTTGCCTCTATTCCATAATCAAATAAAAAAATGTATAATATATATACAATTATGTATGTAATTATACAGTATCGCGTATACACTTTCATCGCAATATTTTCTTTTTCTAGAAAGAAAACAAATTATTTTTCTCTTTTTTATGATTATTTTTTTTGCTGAAACTGATAGATAATGTATAAGAGAAAAAGAATATATATATATATATATATATATATATATATATTCATTACATATATTCATTACACACACACACATACATATAATTATATATATTTATACATAATTACTTTTGGACTATCTTCCCGGATATGTAAATATTATACAATACGGCTAAAAATTATTCCAGTGAAACAAGATTCCGAGTCACGATGTGCGAGACGACATATTGTACAAGAGTTTATGATTATTTTACACAATGATATAATAAAATCATAACTTTAATATTAATTAAAAGATGTTAATTACATATGCGTTGTAATTTGAGACACGCGCTATTAATCCACGGCTACATAACTGCATTCAATTGCAGCATAAAATGTTCTCTCAGTTCATTTGTACTGAAATCATCGACGTCGTTATTCTCCTCAAAGATGTCCTGGACAGTGCCCATTATCGTCTCCTCCGTATCCTCCTCGTTCGTCGCATCGATTCCTTCGCAAATCGATTCTAGAACTTGATTCCTCATTTCCGATTCTGCTTCCTCATCATTCGCAACCTGTACATGAGTCTCTTCATTCACGTTACATTCTGAAGGACCAGCTTGCAGAGTCGCGTTACCGGTCTCGTTAGAATCCAGAGAATTGTTGCGCTGAGAGGTTCGCAGAGATGACAATGATGGAAGCGGAAATCCAAAGTTCAACAACTTGTCGTATCCCCTGGAGCCGCAAATCTCCTTGAGCTCCATCGCCATCGCTACAGCCTTGTCAGTGTAGCCATCCTTCACGTTGTCCATCAACATCTCGTTGAACCTACTCATTTTCTCGTCCATGAGCTTCTTCCTTCTCATGAAGGTTTGCATGTTCAGCATCTTCCTTCTGTACGTGTTTGTATTCTTCTCCGCACGATCGAGGAACTTTGAAGCCTTCTCCAATTTCCAATTGAGCTCCTTTATTCGGTTGTCCTTCTGCTTGATCTGCCCCTCCAGCTTTCTCTTATACTGGCCCTCCACAGTTACGGTTTTCATTAGTTTCTTATTTACCTCTTCCAAATAATTCACTCTGTTCGTTAAATCGTCGAGCAATTTTCGCTCCATGTTCTTCTTCGCTGCAGACGTTGAAGGCGTCCCGCCATCCGTTTTCGTGTTAAATTCGCACATCATGTTTTCCATCTTCTTCGTCTTTGCCTCGAGCGCCATATTTTTGTTCTGCAGCTTCTTCTCCAAGTTCTTGTACAAAATGAGCTGGTTGGTTAATTCCTTGATAACGTCCTCTTGTACTTTTACCTTTTGTTGTAACTTTCGACATTCGTACTTGGTATAATTTGGTTGGTCATTTACGCTGTTAATGTCCAGCATTGCAGAGCTATTTACACGCAAATCGTTCTCCGCCTCAAAATGCGGCGACAATAATCTCGAACATTCATCATATTTTAAGTTGGATGAGACCTGGTCTTTTGATGTAATATATTCATCTTTAATGTTAATGTGTTCTTCTTTAACAAATATTTCTTCTGGAGAATCATCTATCGTTATAATAGACGTAACGAAAGTATTATTTCCTTCGTGCACATAATTATCTTTGCATTCTTGGATGGTGAACTCTTTTGTATCCTTAGATAAATCTTGCATAATATCAAATATATCTTCACGATCACCAGACACTTTGACCGTAAATTTTGTCGTAGCTGGTCCAGCAATATTTTCAGATGCGTTCAGCTCTTCTTCCGTCTTTTCTCTCTTCGCGATGTGATCGGAAATATCGCTATCGCTCGAATTTGTATCCCGGGAGGACGGATTTCGAATTGATTTTTTTATAGATTCCATAATTTCCTCACGAGTTCTCCGTTTACGTTTTATGGCGGCTCTCATGTTTGGTATCACGTGTATAGTCTCCCCTTGAAAAGCTGTCTCTATAGATTCAGGAAAATTTTTATTAGTCTCTTGATTATCAGTAACACTAATAGGATTTGCGACACATCGATCCGTCTTATCAACTTCGGTTGCTTCATTGTTATCGTCAGACGTGCACTTAGGAACCCTGGCACATTCCTCTCCGCTCTCGCTGCCGAAAATTATTTCAATATTCTCTGTATCATCAGTAAGTAGACTTCCAATTTCGTCCTTCGATGAATATTTATAATTTATACTTCTGTGCAATATTGGGACTTGTGTTACTGATTTTTCTATAATTTCTTCCCCGTTATTAGAAGTTGAGTTTAGTCTCTTCGTTTTACTAGATATACTTTCCTCACGATCACCGTCGCAAATTTGTTTCAACTTCTCCTCTATTTCATCGTAACTGTCAAACGAAGTTTGATCATTTTCTCGCTTTACTTCTGTTTTCACAAAACTTTCATTCTGGTTATTGATCAAATTCTCATCCGCTACACAATTACCGATAGATTTTTTACTCTCTGCGTTAGCTTGTGTTTCATTGTTGCATTCTTTGCTATTATCTTCCATCTCTATATTATCATCTGAGATTAGAATAATACTGTCCTGTTCAAGATTGTTCATAATATCTCTGTATTGTCTGTAAGATACTTGTTTATTTTCCATTGTTTGTGGAGAATGATTTACTCGCTGATATATAAGCGACTGTATGGATGGATCATCAATATCCTGTGAATCGGAATCCTTTTCTTCCACAATTGATGAATGTTCAGTGTCATTCTCTAAATATTCCATCGTATTATCGTCCTCGCATTCATTTTGTTTCTTCATATTTCTGATCATTAACTTTCCACGCTTTTTAGGGGATTTTCTAGTCGATGTTATAGTAAAAATAGATGGCACAGCATTCTTTCTCAGTCTGATTCTGCCGTTTGGCAGTATGGACCATTCTTCAGGTTCAAAATGTACATGACAAAGAAAGGAATTGTTGGATGGCTCCCAATCGGCCCTAGCAACACGTTCCTGCCATATCTTCCTTAACTTTGGATCCCGAGGAAAACATTTCATGATATATCCCTTCTCGCTGCGATTGTTGCAACCAATAGCTGCACAACCTGGCATCTTAATCCGACCAAACGTAGGAAACAGCAATCTGCAAATTAAAAATAACAGCAAAGTATATAATACACATAAAACAGTGGTCAATTAAATTTCAGAAAATGACATAAGTAGATTACTTTCGAAAAATACTGTTCTTCAAACGTATACGAAATTTGTTTTAATTTTGCACTCTTTATCGCCTCCTTCCTTCTCTCTTTCTCTCTCTCTCTCTTTCTCTCTTTCCAAAGCACAAAAACAAATTTACTTCATGATAAATGTAAAGGGTATAGCTGAAACAAACAGGCTCATAATTATTATACACTTTTCACACATCTTCTTCAAGAACTTGACTTTAAGAAATTTCGACCGTTCGATAAAAACGTCGCAAAAAAGGTCCAAAATCCACTCACCTTTTCTTTGATATTCCAATTCTATTCCCGAGTTAAACGCGTCGCGTAAATATTATATATCTGTCAATCAGACTGGGAATAACATTCCGTAGACCTTCGTGTCATTAAATCCCCGACAATTCGCGAAGGTTAATTTTTGTATTGTCCAATATCTGCTTTTATGCCTCCCCCAGTATATTGGAACAGCTCACGATTCTATGCACACGTCGTAACATGGCTGCGATGCATTTCGTGCTTGTGTGTCCAGCGACCAATAAGATTTCGAGCGCGATTTATTTGATTTTCTCATAACCGACGAGACGACAAATAATGAGATAAGCTGCAAAAATTAAATTAAATTGAAATATATAATTATAAATATGTTATAAATTAATTAAATTAAAATATATAATTAAATTAAAGTATATTAAATAAATAAAATATATTAAAGCCGCGTTTGCATTGACACTACAAGTGTATTAAATTATATATAAATTAAATATATATAATGTGATAAAAATAAAATATATATTGTGAAACTATTATATTTTAATTTAATTTAATATAATTTAATTTAATACAATTAAATTATATTTAATTTAATTTTTATATTTTACTTTATTAGATGTATCGATTAACAAAGATTCCCAGCAAACATCAAGTGACAGTTATATAATCGTTAGTTATAATTTGCCACTCAATAATATAATTGTTATTAATACATAACAGTTATATAACATGTATATTATTATATAACAGTTATATTGTTGAATAGGAAATTATAATTAACAGTTATATAACTGTTAATTATACTGTTACTTGATGTTTGCTGGAATTATATCAATATTTCTCTTTAATTGATTGATTAAGCTAAAGAAATTTTTGTCTTCATTAATATTTAATCAAACGCCTTTAAAGCGTTTCAAAAATAAACACAAGATACATTTAAAAATGTTGCGAAAATTTCGAATAGTTTAATTGAAATTGCTAGATTGGAATAATTTAATTGGAATTATCAGATAGATGCAAGAGTCATATGTCAATCAGGAACAGCTGTTCGATAAGCGCTCAATAGTCTAGTTTCTATCGAACGATTTTTTTATCAAAATATTTGACAAAATAATTGAAAAAAATTAAAAATTCCTATTTTTGCCAACTTTGCACTGATATTTATTTGATGAATAATAATTAAATTAACAATCAGCAAACGTCAAAATCAGGCCAATAGCCAGCAAACGATCAACAATTAATTGCAATTGTTTAAAGTTTGAAAGATTGATTTTCGCGCTTATTGTGCTGCGCATGCGCAAGAAAAAAAGGTGAAAAACATGCTCCAAATATAAAAAAAAATTCGATAGAGGAAAACTAACCAATACGTACATTGACAGATCCTAAAGAAGCAGGATTTTATTATTCGACATGTCACATATTTAGATAAAAACGCGCGTGTTTGACAAATGCGCAGTATCGTAGACGAAAGATAACACATGAATGTTGAAAGCAAAATATTATAGGACATGAATAACAAAGATGCTCGCCAAACAACGCCAGGGCCAGGTGATGGCTTACGATCTTTACGAAGCACTTCTTTATTCCGCGCCGTCAATTTCGAGTTGTACGTCAAGCCGGTAAGATTACAGGATGTCTCTCTTTAATCGGTTGTCTTTAAAAAAAATTTCTCGTTTGCTTTGTAGAACAAAACAGTTATGGTTCTCGGCGTCCTAGCAATGTTGGGTTGTTCGGGGTACATATTTTACATGAATTCTCAGAGAAAGAACGATTATCAGGCTATGATGAAACCGGACGATACAGTAGTATTAGTGAGAAAAACTTCCAAATGGACCGACTGAATAAGAATATAAGACATACATGATATTCTTTGTAGTTTAATTATATATATAATTTACTCAATTTTTAACGATATATATTATCGAATATGTATATACATTATACAGATTTATTAAGTTTATGTAGATTTATTAAGAGCTTGGAACAATAGTATAACAAATCACACAAGAAACATCCAAGCGAATCCTCTTTACTTTATTGAAAATTTACGATACCAATCAAAACTCTTATAAGAATTTAATTAAATTATTGCAAAACAAGAATCCATTGAATTTTTTTGATTATCTTTACCAGCTCTTTTCCTGTAAAAATTTATTCAAACATTCCATGTTATTGCCTCTAATGCTTTGCATGAAACATTATTATAATACTATTATAAATATTCTAATACAACTCATATATTATTTAATATTTATTATCAACAACAATTACATATCAATAAAAAAATTTGATTTACTTTTCATATTTTAAAAATGCTTTTATAACTAAATGCATTCTACAGTTTAATTTTTTTTTCTACAATATACCATTAATCTATAATTGTTAAAATATCTTACAATTTTACAAGAACTTTTATGTAATAAAATTTGTATGCAAAATTTACATTTCCATCATATCCAATGATAATCATATAATTTTTATAATAAAAAGTTGCAATTATTATGTATCATTATTTGCATTCTACATAACATTGTTGTAAAGATTCTTAACTTCTATAACAATTACAGATTAATGCATTTATGGATTTATATAATATACGAGATGCATTCACAAAATAAAGTCTAGTTAATAAATTAAAAAAATAAAAGAAAAAAATTTTGATAGTGGCTAATAATATCTACATTATACGTAATTTTTCCGTAATCATTATTGACTACATATTTGATATATTATTTGTACCAACAAATAGAGCTAATTTGCTGAATAACAATTAGCTAGATACTGACAGATTTTTTCTGATACAATTTAAAAAAATTGACTCAATCGTATACATTATGCAGAAAAATAATGTATATATGTAGGTATCGTTAGCCATCATTAAATTTTTTTTCTTTTTATTGATTTTTTTTTAATTGCTGACCAGATCTCATTTGTAAATACTCTCCTTTATATAATTCTAGATATTTTTTTACGAGATATCAATCTATAGCTGTTGTTTTATATAAATTTATACAAATTCTGCTGCAAACATTGGCATAATTGGCAGTACAAGATATTTCCTTTCGTATTTGCATCATGTATCTGACTTCTATGATTAATAGTTGGATTTAATATAGAAGTTGGTCCTGATTCTTGTAAACAAAATAATTACCATAAAAATATATTCATATTATTAACTGTTCTCTGCCATACATATAAAAGCTTTTCATATGTAAGCTTTTTATCAACATGTTTGTGTTGTGATAAAACTTCAATATGATATGTATAATTCTAACTCATATATATATTTTCAACAGACAAGGAAGCCCACTCTATGTTGGAGAACAATATCACTGATCTACAGCTGAAAAAATTATTTTCTTACAAATTATTTTCCTACATTCTATAACGCCAACAAAATTTAATATCTATAAACTTACTTTCTTTCTATTTTTTTTCTTCAAAACTCAATAATAAGTAAAAGAGTATAATTATCTTCAAACATATGTAAAGAGAAAAATTTAAGATATTATCAATTACAATAACATCATTATGAAATAATATTATTGTGAATTGATAATATCATTATGCTATCCTTCTTGTAGCAATATTATATTGCCATTATAACAAAGCTTCTTCAAATTTGATCTAAATAAATCCCTTTAAATGATGTAATTGTTAAAATAGATCAAATTTATCACGCAAATGTAAAGTATAGTGTATCTCACATTTTGTCTTTGATGACAAACATCTTTTTTTATAAGCTATCTATACATTTCTTTTACTATTCAACAACTTTAGTGAAATCTCATGCTACAAAAGTATGTAATAGATTAAAATAGAAAATTTCTAGCTAAAATTTCTAATAGTAAATATAAGCTATACCTACATTTATCAGTTTAAAAAGCACTCAACACAATTTTCACATTTCACAATTTTCCTAAGTTGCTAGGTAACTTTTAGTTTTAATAACAAACTATATATATATTAAATATATATATAAAAGAAGTCTCATGTTGTGATGTGACATGACATAATATAAATACAAAATTTGGCATTATGTAATACTTTGCAATATTTTGAGTTTTGTACTTTTGTCTTGTAAAATTTTTCAATGAAAAAAGGGAAAATAAGAAAAAAAAAACAAAGAAAAATAATTTACCACAGGAAGGATAACTGTATCTTAAACAGTTCGGTCTCAAAATAGAATATGAAGACAGAAAATGCATAATTGCATGTAATAAATTTCGATATTACTCGAAAATAATCACGTCTTCGAACTAAACGGATCGAATTTTGTTATGTACAAATTATTGCCGTATTTTCAATGTTGAAAGGTTTGACTGTTAATTTGTACTTTGAGTACCATGAAGTCTTAATTTAACACGTACAATCGTTCTGTCCTTCTGGGAAGAGCTTTAGCGTTTCATTGATCGCGTTTGCCACATAATCTAGATTGGATTCGTTAAGTCCGCACATATTTATACGACCGCTGCGTAACATATAGATGTGATAATGTTCTCTCAGATGCTGCACATGTTTTTCTGAAAAAAGAAATTTTTTTAACGGAAAAATTCTTATTCAACCGCATTATGAAACTAGAGAAACATAATTTCTATAACCAACCATTAAGTCCTGTATATGAGAACATTCCAATTTGCTGGACAATATGATCCCAAGTACCTGGAGTGCCTAGTTTCAGCAATCTCTGATGCAAGCCTTTTCTCATATCTTTAATTCTATTGGACATTGTTCTAATATGGTCTTTCCTAAGATATCCAATTGTGTTGCTTAAGTATATAATTATATTTTACATATATCTTATAGAGAAAATACATATGGAATGTGCAATACCATTCTTCATAGAGTTCTGGATTCTTCAATACTGTCGCAACAATTCGAGCACCATGATTAGGAGGATTGCTGTACATCCCTCGAATAATTAACGTCAATTGGGACTTGACTTCGACTAGTTCCTTCGTGTCAGCCAACACAAAGACTATATTTCCAATTCTTTCGTTGTACAGTCCAAAATTTTTCGCGAAGCTCTGCGTGCAAATGAATTCAATCCCACGTTCGGCGAACATTCGTACGGCGTACGCGTCCTTATCTAAATCTCCGCTTGCGAAGCCCTATTAAGGGACCACATGGATTACTTGAATGTACTATGGAGATGATTATGAGAAAATTAAATACATTATCTGATTGATTTGATAGTGACCTGATATGCACTGTCGAATAATGGGAAGAGTCGTTTCTCCTGTATCACGTCTGCTATTTTAGTCCATTGTTCCGGAGTTGGATCGCATCCAGTGGGATTGTGCGCGCACGAATGCAAAATAATTATAGCGTTTTCCGGAGCATCTCTCAAGTCATCGAGCATTCCTTCTAGATTGACACCACGGGTCTTCTCGTCCCAATATCTATATTCGCGTGCGTGCTTAAATCCTCCATTAATAAACACCAGCTTATGGTTTTCTACTTGAACACGATATACATAGTTACCATTTTACTGATAAATGTGTTAACATGGCTAATATATTGTATCTTGAAATTTTCGCTTACCCCAGGAAGGTATGCTGTAGTAAAAAGTATCATAATGCAAAATACGACTCAAAAATTCAGCAGCAACCCGCAATGCACCAGTACCAGAGAGCGACTGGATGCCGAAAGCACGGCCTTGGGCAATGACAGGAGAATTTGGGCCTAATAACATACTTGTAGCAGCTGCGCTAAACGCATCTAAACCAAGAACTGGTAAATATTCATGATTCTGTAGCTCATCAGCGGCGAGTAACTTCTCTACCTTCCTTACAACTGGCAGGACCCATGGTTTGCCCTCACTAGTGCGATAAGCTGAAATGAATTTGCATGAGCATACTTTGAAATAAATTGTATAAGTCCCATTAATTATTGCACGATTATTTGTTCATGCAAAATCATGCAATATTTATAAATTATTTTTTTAAATCATTTTTTTAATTTTTTGTTTTATTAGTAAAGCTAAAAAAATTTATATGTTTTCAAATATGACATTTTTTATTTTTATAATGTATGATATCTGCTTTAGAAGTTGATTATTGATGTTTGCAAAAGATATAAAAATGTAACAGATGATATTATTAGATTTAATATCAAGTGATAGAGCAGATTAATTTTTATCTTTGCTTTTAAAAAAAAATTAGGTGAAGAGCTTATCTTCTCTACTTTTCCATATTATCTGTACATATGTGTGAGTACGTGTACACATGTATGTGTGTACATATATGTGATAAGTGTATAATAATGTGAGTATTATGTAATCATTTTGGAGGTGACCCAAGAGCAAGAGGAGTAGAAGTAGAGACGTAGAAAATATATATTCCACGTATATACATATTGTGACTTATATTTATTATTAAAATATGCTAATCTCTAAAAGAAGAAGAGACATCATTTTTCAAAGCGCAAAGCGTTGCTATGAAAAATCTACAGGCATGAAATTAGCGACGGGCTAAAAAAGAAGAAAAAAAAAGAAACAAGACAAGTAAATCAGTCTTAATAAGCGTCTAAAAAAATGATGACAAATTTAGGAATAAAAAAGACAGCCACATACCTCCTATAATTAAACTGACTTTATTGTCATGAGCGTCGTCGACGAACGTCTTTTGCAGCGCGAAAACCTCGATGGGCGGTCCCAATTTGATCCCCGTAAATCTGGTAGTCATTTTATGCGATGCAATGTGCTGGAAATTAGAAAAAAAAATTCGAATCCTCGTTCAGGTTCGAGGTCGAGCGAACAGCTGATAAATAGGATACGCGAAGGCCAATCTGTCAAAGCGTAGCCGCGCGCGCGGATATATCCCGAAGTCTACTACTATGTGCGTTTCTATGTGAATATATATACGTATGTATTCTGAATTTTACCCTACTGTGAGCAATTGACGTAAGAGAGGGCGGTCGTTTCCCAATGAGATTATTATGTTTTTCACGTTCGTGCCATTCACAGCGACTCTCAACGCCTTCAGTCGCGAGATTATTTCAATCGCGACCCTTAAGCCGGGTACACATGTGCCCTTGAATTTTGACTGATCGATTTCTCGCGTTGACATTGCGAGCAATTGTCAAAAAGGAAAAAAAAAGTACAGAAGTACTTAATTGATTTTTCTATATATTTCTATATATTTTCTATATTTTTTTATATATTATAATAATTCGATAAACAGAAAAATATATAGAATAATATATAGAAATATATAGAAATATAATAATTCGATAAACAGAAAAATATATGTTCTAGAACATATATTTTTCTGTTTATCGAATTATTATATTTGTATAAATATCGCGGCTGCGATAACTTGGTCTGTCCACCGAATGAAGATTAAAGATTGGAAATTTTGATTAAAATTTCTAGTTTTCGACCGATTTCAAATTTTAACTTTCGCTTTTTAATGCAATCTGATACAGGCTTAAGGAGTAGAAAGATCGGCCAATCGCGCGACGGCTCGTCTGGAACGAGCCTATGGAAGTCGAGGAGCTCCTCCGTGATTGGTCCGTCGAAAATTCGCTTCAATCCATTTTTTTCACAAGAATGTAACATAATATTCGAGCGAATCTCGCTTATTACCTCGTGCTACGCAATTTGTGGCAAGATACGATGATTCCGAGGGAAAACGTCAAGTTTGTCTGACAGATAATCGCGAGTACCCTGGGTAGGTGGATGCCGATGATACTCGCGACCTCGGTGTACCTTCGTGAATGCCAATTACGTGACAATCGCTGCGATAAATGAGCCTGCAAGATAGTCTGTTTTCCGAGGATGTCGAGTACGACGTAACCTTCTTCGCGAGGGACAGGACGCGCAAAAGGTACGTACAAGGTTGAATGATTCTATAGCGCATATGCAGACAGAGACAAGGTTCTTATCGACGTCGAGGTCGATGAGAACTTTGAAGGTTAGCTTCTTAATGATATCCATCAGCAGTTATGTGAACGTGATCTTAATTCGAGGTCTTGCGTGACTTTGGTCTGCGTTATTTTATTTAGACGTGCATATATATATATATATATATATATATATATATATATATATATAGTGTGTATATAAATAAATTGAATATACATGCATGTACCGGCAAATTAACGAATACGTTTGTGTGCATATCGTGTGTCCTCGGAGCGAAATTATCCATCTGCGAGTGGCTTAATATAGATTTTATAAATAGCAAGTAGCAAGCAAGTTAATACGTCGATAAGCCATCTTCGCTAAAGAGCTACGAACATCTAAGGTACGCGATTCTCCTTGTATAATATATATATATATATATATATATATATATATGTTATATATATTATATATGTTATATATATTATATATATTATATTTGTTATATATGTTATATATATATGTTATATAAATATATATATATATATACATATATATATATATATATTTACACACAAATATTAATATTATTAAATATTATATATATATAAAATGAGAGAGAGGGAGGGAAGGAGAGAGGGGGTAATAAATCGATCGAGAATGGTTTTTTGCAAGTTTTTCACTTGCATTATTCACATTGAAAAGAAGCAAACATGAAAAAACAATTCCAAGATACCAGAATTATTTACAGAAATATTATGTATTTTTTTAAATAATATCGCGAAATAATATGTATCACTTCGGCGTAGAAATGATTTGAAATTTAAGGGATAATTTCGATTACGTGATAATTTTTTGATGACACGAATGTGACTTTTCTACCGCCAATATCGTATGGTGTAACTAAAACCATAGGATACATATTTACGTCAATTATGGTCAATACTAGGTCTGTTCTTTTGATCCGAATCGGCTGCACTCTAGTTCAAAGTTTATCTACTTCTTTCCAATATGAAGTGAAAAAAGAATAAATCTCGATCTAGCGCGGCCAGTTCAGCTGAAAGGGACATCTACTGGCAGTCCATATCGAAACGTCATTATTGCGGCTTGTTGCACGTGGTCGCGCGTCCGTGACAGGTCAGTCACACGTGCGGTTACGCACATTCAGTAATCTCGTAATCGCACGTATATTACACACAAAGCAACGTGTATTCTAATCTCTTGTAATTCGAAGCACGATAGTATAACCGAAGCAACTACTTTCTCAGACTTCGTTCGGGAAATTGCTTTACTGCTAAAAGCGTCGCGTTTATTTAACAAATTTACCTATTTACAATACTGAATGAACCGTATTCGTGCAACTAATAAAGTAAGAGAGAGAAGAGAGATGACGAGTCGACCTTAAACCTTAAACGTCTGGACCGAGCGAAGTCGGATAAACCAACGAGGGAGAAAGTGAACGCGCGGGTTACGTAAAAGTTAGCCGGCCTTTATATCCTCTTACATATGTTCCCCCCTCTCCCTCTCTTTCTCCCTCTCACGTAAGGCGTTACGTTCACCAAAAGCGGCTGGTCGACGTTCGAGCTCACTTTCAGCGGTCTTTTCACTTTTGCAGAGCGCTCGTCTTCCCGCCAGTCAACAACTATCGCCGTTTCATAATACACCAGCTGGTGCAGGATCGTTTCCCGGACCTGTTGCACACGTTCTCGATCGGCCAGGGCTCGGCCAGACGTACCGTCGTGTGCTACAAGAGCGACGTGAGAAGGTATCGCAGAAGATCGCACTCATCCCGGCCTTTATTACTACGTCTCGTCCCTCATCGATAGTGCAATGATTTTGGTCTTGATGTCTACACTGAAAAAAAGTAATGTTGAATTAACAACATCAGTGTAATTGGAATTTATTTTATTAATTCAATAACATTTTTAATCAAATTAATATACCATGTATTGATTTGATTAATGATATTATTGAATTAATAAAATAAATTCCAATTACACTGATGTTGTTTATTCAACATTTTACTTTTTTTTCAGTGTAATATCTTAAATAATGTATATCGAGCATGTAAACCGCGAACGAGAGTGAAACTATTGGTGCGATTGCGAGATCATCCTGTATAGTGTATTCGAGATAGTCACGATCAGGATCATAATTGTAGTCGCGATTTTTTTCGACCAGTATGATTCCATGAGAATTGTCAGTAACGTTGTTTTATTTGCAAAGAGATTGGGACCCAAAGCCGAATGCTCCTGAGTGTGGAACAAGCCTTGTGACGAAACGAAGGGATACGATTCGCGGGATGGAAGGTCGACAATCGCCTTCAGTGTCTCCGGAATGCAAGCAACTACAGCGACAAGGTGATTCTCAGAATAAGTAATACATAAATGATATACAGAGAAAAATGTATACTGTATTCAAGTAAATATTATTTATTTTAAGTATATCATAAGTTTGTATATCCACAAATATATCATAAGTTTACCACAAGCATTAAAGTTAATTGAATATATTCTGAATTTTAGTAAGTGCAGTATTTTAGTCAAGAATATTAAATTAAAACAAAAATTTGGTTTGCTTACTACAAGAATTGACGTAAAGTAAAGTTGATTTTTCTTTGATACAACTTTACAATATTCTTGAAGAGAAAATAAATTCTTTTGAGTACATGACAATGAGATTTTCTAACACTTATGATGAGTATATTTTAAGATTATTATATTTTAAGATTATTATCAAGAATATATTGTTTGTTGAAGAAAACTATTATTTAAAAAAAGAAAAATAAACTGAGTAATCGCTTGGCAGTAGAATGATATTTTTCTCTGTGTAGATAAACAATGATGGGCAATATAACAGGCCCTCGAATAATACATTATAATAATGTGAGATGTGCATTTATATATTTTTAGCTAAATCGGCACCAACGGTCGAGATTTATAGGCCACCGGCAGCTAGAAGAGCTAGCAATTGCTCGCAAATGAGCGGGACGCAGACGCAGATGCAATCAAATAATACAGAATCTTCTTCAGTCAAGTAAGGCTTATTAAATTATTAGATGTATAAATAAATTCTCCGCTATTTTTATGAAATTCTATGTCTATTAATAAATTATACTGATTGTAATTAATCAGCAGAATTCTAAAGTACATTGTGGACATGTGCATTTTCAGGAATGTGCGGCAAAAGCGACCTGATCGAGCGGTTTATGTACCTAGACATCGAAGAAGCCTGGAGGAGAGGAGATCGCGGAGTCTTAAAGCTTCTCCCGCAAATCATACGACATTAAACGAAGATCCGAATACGAATAATAATTCTAGACTGCAAGATACATGTTGTATTCGACAGAGTACAAACGGCGATTCGAGTTTGGACAATCAAATTTCCGAGAATCGCGACATGGAGATTGAAAATAGCCATATTTCGCGAGAAATTTTGGAGGATGGAATTATTTTGGATTGTAGGAAAATCTCTGACACACATGATAATACTGAGTATACGCATAAACTATTGGAAGAACTGAAAGAGGATGTGCAAACTTTATTGGAAGAGACGAAAACTGTGGCTGATAATCCTGATGAAAATAGCGCTAATTTTAATCTATCAAAATCAGCCGACAAAGTGGAGATTAACGACGAATCGGTAAAAACGACGCAAGTAATCGTCGAAGAAGAAAACCGGTCCTTAATGCAACATTTAGATTATAACGATACGGTAGATAATGAAAGTACGCAACTAGTTGAACAGAATGTAGTATCGGATGTTCTAGTAATTTCTGATAATATGCGAAAGAAAGTAGAACGACTCGAACAAACATCTCCGATTCTTGTAATACCACCTGAAAAGAAAGTAAAAAAGATAGAGAGACAAAAGAGCAAACCGGTCCCATCGCCGTCTCCACCTATGAAGATAAACCGAGACGAATGCGATTGGGACAGTTTGTTCGACGATAATGGTGATTGTCTGGACCCAACGTTGATAGAAGAGGTCAGTATGTCTCATGCGTTTACATGAATTTTTAATAGCGTTTATTTATTTTATTATTTATAATATTGTAATTCTAATTAATTTGTTTATTGTCGCACTGTCTTTTTATCCAGCTTACATCAGCGGTGGGCGAAGTGACGATAGAACAACCAAAGAATGATTACAAAACGTACAGCAAACAGGTCGAAGTGTCTAGTGACGAGTTTGCGCACGTTGTAGAAATTTACAATTTCCCCTCAGAGTTCAAAACTAGCGACTTGGCGGCTGTCTTCAGTTCTTTCAAAAACGGTGGCTTCGAATTAAAGTGGGTGGACGATACTCACTGCTTAGGAGTTTTCAGCAGTCCTCTCGTTGGTATACATATATTTGATAATTTATATTTTTAATAGTCAAATCTCTCTATTCTTGATATCTTCATATGCTTGATATTTTTTTTTATTCGATATTTTCTATTTTTTCTGTTTTTACTCCTCATATATGTAAATACTAAAAATATTAAATACAGATGTTTAAAAGATATTTTTATTTTGCATATGTGTCATTAAAATTTATTTAAAATTTAAGAAAAGTACTAAAAAAATAGAAAGTTTGATAATAGAAATGTTTGATTGTACTGAAAAATGATGTAATGTATAATTTATAATAATTTTATTAACAAGTTGAATTAGTTTGAAAACAAATATTAATGAGAAAATTATTTATTCAAGAAATTTTATTATTAATATTTAATAATATTGGCATAATATATAGATTTATCATTGATGATATTTTTAAAAAGTTTCAAATTATAATTAGATATATTGTATATGCAATTAATTATATTTCCTTTTTTGTTTCTTTCAATACTTTTTTTAAGCTGCTGAAGTATTAGCGTCGAATCATCCGTTTGTGAAAACAAGGCCGCTTAGCGAAGCCACCGCCTTGAGTAAAACGAAAGCCAAAAGAACCGCAGAATTTCTGCAACCTTATAGAAATCGGCCCGAAACATGCGCCGCTCTGGCCAGAAGATTAGTTACAGGCGCGTTAGGCGTGAAACTCGCTACAGCCAGACAAGAACGTGAGCACGAGAAGAATATATTGCGCGAAGCAAAAGGTAAATTATGTTAATTCTGTAAACAATATAATAAAAAGAAGTAACACTGATAAGCACAAAAAAATATTTTCGTCCATAAAAAAATTAATAATCGTTATTAATTAATTTCAATATAAAAAAAAATAATATGATATTTAAAATTTTTGCTTAACTCTTTCATAATATATTTTCTTTTAAGATTTGAGAGAAACATTTAATTTTGCTTGCTATTGGACTACTATTGAAATGTGACAAGAGATGCTCCAAATGTAGAATACAAACGAAAAGAAAATGTTCAAGCAAATAGATCAAAATATTTATATACTTTTGATAAAAAATATAACTTCATAATTCATTCTATTATATTTTATTTGTGTTTTTCTCAACATATTAATTAGAACATACATAATTACAAAGCAGATTTTGTGTTATATTAAATTCTTTCACAAAACTTATTAAATTAAGTATTTTATTTTGTTTAAATATTATTTCTCAAAACATAGAGCTAATAAAAATATTATAGTGTTATATTCTTTTTTCTTGTATTTTTAGTAAAAATTGACTAATTTTATAAAGGAAAGAGTTTTTTTGTATATCAGTGTAATATTCAAAATAAGTTACTATGAGAGAGATTCTTGCATTACAGAGAAAAGACGATTGGCTAATAAGCAACGTGAGGATGTCTGGGAAGGCATAATACCTGCGAAGTAACATTACGCATTGCTAATGCGTATTTACAGGGATCGTTTATACCTCGTCGTATTACTATGTATTATATTGCATAGTTTGTGTAGCTCACAAGGCTCGTATAACGTTGGGTCTTTTCCAAGCAAGAATACACTACATTACATTGTGTTCATATGTAAGGTACTTGCTGGAATAGTTGAAATCCTAAATTTAGTTTCTAAGAGAATCATCAGAGAGTGCATTACAATTTTCCACGTTTGTTATTACGAATATAACACAGGTGTTATTGCTACGTCTTATCCTATTGGATATTTTTATTTTTTTAATAAAACAATAAAGATACAGAAAGAAGAGAATTATATAACAGATCATTATTGCAACATTAAATATTAATAGAATATTAATAGAATAATCTATTGATTACTAATAATTAATAATTTTTATAAGATTAAACCAAATTTTAATGAAAATATTTTCATTAAAATTTAAATTTTGTTTTAATTTTATTTGTATGTAAATTTTACAGACGATAAATCATAAAATTATCTTGTTTAATATTAAATATAAAATTTCTTGAAAATGATAATATAAATATATCACACATCTGTATTTAATTTTTTATAGTGTTGAGCAATATCACTGTGTCGCAATTGAAGCATACAATGTTATATTATATCATCTGTGTACTTTGCTGGAAAATACCCGAAAATCCTCGCGTTAACGTATACTCAATCAACGAACGTTTGATTTTATCGTAAGAAATTTGTGACGCGTCTGCGTATATTTGTGCCTTACTCATCTATCCTCTTTATATTGATAAACAGAGGAAATTAGACAAATACATATATTTTTCTGTTTGTGAATTGAATAAAGAACACGCGCTATTTTATCACTAGATGAGTTTGGCATGCAAATATTATGTGGTTAGTAAATATCTGTTTATCTCTTAAGAAAATTGTCGCGACAATATATCGTTTTAATGCCGTAAAAAAAGAACTGTAATGAAAAAACCAGCTATGCACTATCTTGTATCTTTATCATGCAAGAATTTAACTTTCTTTTATAGTAGTTACGATCTTTTACAGAAAATTAAAACCACAAAATATCAAAATTATACACGTAGCAACATATACATTAAAAATTGACAACCTTTTTATATTATCTTAATATTCGTCATGTATTGTTATTAGTTTATACGCAGCAACATATGCGATAATATAGTGTAGATTAATCGCGAGACAATAAGTGGCAATAGAATTCTTTCGCGCATACATCGACTCATCATAGTGATATATCAAAATATATCTTTACAAAGTTTTATAGAGACCGACGACACAATATATTTATTGAAGATAATCGTAGCATGTATATATAAATTATATATTGCAGAATAAAACATTTTATAATTCTGACTTAGGCCACTTATATATCTGTTACATAATACAAATGTTACAAATCGACGCACAATCACGTTATCTATTCATATTACAGAGTTGCTGAGTATAACGAAAACTTGCTGATTGTATTTTTATACACAGTTGTTACCGATATGAAATAAAAATGTGTTTTTGCCTAGCCCTAGTCAACATATGTACACTGAAAAATGTTACCTATGTGTGTTGATTGATAATTATGTCATCGAGTTGAATGAGAGGGTTTCTCTTGGAAAAGAAAAATAAAGATATTTTCTATGGCATAGTCCAATTTTCTCTATATATATTTACATATTGTCAATATATAGATACGTACTTGATCGAGTTTCCTCGAAAAGCAACATTTGCAACGTACAAAAGAAAAAAATATGTTAATAATAATATATATATATATATATATATATATATATATATATATATATGACGATAAAATTTTAACTGCATTTAAAGATCCATTGATAAATTTATATATACATAAAAAATTATATGCAATAAATTATACTTCTTTTACATGTTTTGGGTAGATGGTATCTTTTTCGTTTCTTTTTATATAATGGCAGTATTACAACTTCCGTTTTATAAAATACAGCTACATGGTAGCAAATCCATTTCACTTCATATTTTTAAGAAACGTTTTTCTTTCTTTTCTTTAAAACGCCATGTAATCTAGTTTACACAGCAAAACATGAGAAATCAATTTAGGAATGAAATCGTTATTACCACTTGCTACCTTTCTTCTTTTTCTTCTGCTGGACTTTGCGTTGTTGCTGCCGTGGTCCGGACGTTTCAACTGCAGGACTATGACGAGGATTCGGAGAAGGCTTGGCGTTTGCAGGCATTTTCGTGATGTCGCTGTGATGTAAAGTACATTAGTTTTTTTCAACAAATAGTTTATGGCAATAAGAGTATATTGTGCTCGCATGTACGTACTAAAGGTCGCTGGCTCCTGTAGCGGCTCCTTGTGTCCCTTTCATGGCGGCATCTCTGTTCCTTCTGTCTCGTTTCTTACGGAATCCGCTGCGTTCGTGTCTCGGTAACCATCGCTCTGGATCAGGAGGAACGTCTGGATCATAGTTCTTGGGCATTTTACCCCTACGTTTGCGTTTTTTGTGCTTCTTTTGTATCACATCTGATACTGGTTTACTGGAATAAAGAATCAAAACACAATGATTTTCAAATATATACGATTTTGATGTAATAACTGAAATAATTTATATTTACCCAGGAGAAGGTTCAATCTTCTTCTTCACTACTTTAGTTCCAATAACCCAATTGCTACTTTCTAATGCATCAACATCGGTAGTTTCAGCAAGATCGTGAAGCGGAGGTAATCTTTTAGATAACGACTGCGCTTTAGTAGGACAAAACTGTACATATGCGACCACTAATTGAGCTAAAGTCTTAGTATCGGATGGCGAAGCGTCTACAATTTCTTGCAGGATATCGGCAGCGATTTGTAGCTCGCCACCACGTAAGTAGAAATTGGCTGCCTGTCGCCATAATTCTCCCAAATTTTTAGTAGTTTCCTGAAAAGAAATCTTTCCTGTAAAAAATGTTGGGCAAGAGATTGACCATACATATAATATGTTTTATATAAAGTGTTATAAAGTGTTTCTTATGAAACTTGATGTTATAAAAAATATTTCAAAATTGACAGGGTTTTAGGAGGAAAAATTGAGAATCTTGGATTTTCTTTTTAAGGACATTTTCTAAGATCTTGTGAAGATCAACCTAATTTTGTAAAATGGAATTACTCTAATTTTTTTTATATAAATTGATTCCTCGTAATATTCAGCATAAAAAGTTAGCCAAAAATTGATTATTTTTCGAAATATTTCATAATTATGTCAAATAAAATATAAAATATTTTGCAAATTATTTAATTTTTAGCTATTTCCTATTCTAACATTCTAATATCGAATATTGCGAGGAATCATTCATTTGTATAGAAAAATTTGGATGAATTTAAAAAACTAAGTTTATCTTTACATGTTTCTTGAAAAATGACAGTTAAAATTCAAGATTGTCATTTTTTGTTTTCCTTAAAACTCTATTAATTTTGTCCAAAACATTTTTTATACAATGTTTTATATGAAACTTAAAAAAAAAAAACATCTCATAACATTTATACATTTTGAATGCACATACTTTATGTTTTTTATAATAAGCGACTGCATTCTTTAGAACAGCCGATGCTCTCTCACGATCGTTGTCAGCCATGTGGAGTGTAACGAGTGCACTGACTATTCCAGGAAGAGATCTATCCTTTTCGTTTATATTTTCAAGAATAGCAATCGCATCTTTTCTTTCATCATGACTCAGAAGAACTTGCACACTAGCTAATTTCATAGACAATTCCTTCTCATCGACCGCATGTTCGATTAATAATCTCGCCGTTTCTTTCGCTTTACCTTCTTTGCTAAGTTGTACAGCTTTTACGAACATCGCGTCTGCTGCCAGTGTAGGGTGATCTTTCGCAAGATTATTACATAACTGATGGCATTGCTCTCCCTGAAAATATGTAATAAATATGTTATCTTTGTAAAGACCAAAAGATTGATATTTTAATACTATAATATTATAAAACTTACTTGATCTGTGTAAAACGCTAATAAACACTGATTGTATGCAATGTTCCTTCTTTGCCTGGAAGTTAATTTGTGCTCTAGATTTTCATGAGTGGCACTTTTCATTCTCTTTTTACTGTCAAACACATTTTGATCTTTATTCAGACATACTAAATTATTGTTGGCTACAGCAACCAATGCGATGTCATCTGGCTTGGCTTTTAGAACAGTGGTATATAATGCTTGCGCCTCCTTCTCTCGACCTTGCAATTGCAGGCAATACCCGAGCTGTACACGAATTATACCCAATTCATTTTCAATTTCCTCTTCGGATGCTCCGTCTTCTTCCAAGCCCTCCTTGCATAGTTTCTCAGCAGCTCTTAATTTCTTTTCTGCTTCTATTAAAGCAGTTCTATCATCCCTGTTTCTTTGTGCGAGTAAACGACACGCCGCATTGTATGTTAATTCATAAGTGTGTTCATGTAACGAAGGAACCTCTAAATCCTAAAAATTATTTACAATATATCTTTAGAAATATTTATGACAAAAACTATTAATAATTTATTTAAATTAATTTATTTAAATGCATTACAGAACTTACAGAACCCTCAATCGCTAAGTTTCCAAGAACGGCTGCAAGATTTGTTTCTCTTTCTTCTTCATAGTCATCGTGCGAATTCTTAATAATGTCTCGATATACCGCAAAACATTCCTCATATTTCTCTAAACGATACAACACCTGAGCTTTTAATTCCTTGATCTTCAAGGAAGGATTCTGCACATTCTCTATTACTTTCAACGCCTCAGAAATTTGGTTTAAACGATAAAGACAGTATCCTTTTTCAAAATCCAGATTCCTGAGTTAGAAATAAAGTTCATAGAAAAATATTACATCTACTTTAATATCGTGTAAATGTTACTAAACTAAAAATATCGCCATACGTCGCTAATTTCGGAGTTTTAACGATGGCTTGTAACGCGTCGTTGAACTTGGACAGCTGGATGTAACAAACAATCTTGTAGTGAAACGCCGCTTCCTCATCTTGGGAAATGCCTAAAACTGAACGTCAGAGTGTGAATTATTTCATAGCTTCGAACGACATGTTTTTGGAGAATCTTTACCGAACGCAAATTATTTCACGCAAATATAATTTCACGATATATAATTTTAAAATGAAAATATGTGTGAAAACATCAACATCAACGAGTAAAACTACTTGCACCTTGCGATTGTCAGTTTGGTGTTCGATAAATAACTCATAAGCTTACTTCTGTTCGCGGTTTTCAAGGCCCTTTCGTATTCCCCGTTCTGCCCTAATTTGTTTAATTCCGTATACAGCATGAGAAGGTTATTT